CTTGAGCGCTGGCTTTCTAAACCGGGCCCCATTTGTGAAAAACATCGCTTACGGTGGATCTCGCCGGGGGTAGAGATCCTAAATCTTAAATCCTAGATTCTAAATCCTAAACCCTAACTAGATCCTAAATATCGGTCTCAAGATTCTTGGGGCCATTTACGCTTCAGGCGACTCTTCCATGACCCACACAACCAAAAATCACAACGACCTGAATTGCACCCTAACAATACCCTTAATCATGCCCTGCATGGATGACCTCAAGTGTAATACAGAGGCCGTAACAATTAGAATAGGGTTTTGGGCCCATTATACTTTACGCTCAATAAGGAACCCCCCAAACTAGTATAGGTAACTATCAAGCACCTATATTACGAAATCTAAGCCTTCCAACTCGGCTGCCCAGGCTTTCTTCTTCTCCTGTCTAGGGAGGGCTTGCAGCTTGTCTATTGGGCTCGGGTTTAGTTTTTTTCTTTTTTTTTTTCGGGGGGGGGGCGGCTTGAGGGATTCGGGCTCAGGCTTCGGGGTACAGGGTAAGAATTTGAAAGATGTGGGAGTTTCCGAAAATGGGTGACCCCAATATAGCACCCTAAATAGTAGGATCCTTATTATAAGGACCCCAAGATAAGGTACCCTCTAATTTTCGGAAACTCCCATGTAGAGCTTTGCACGGTTCGAGACTGAACCTCTTCGGGCACAGGTTTGGCTTTCTAGCAGCCCATGCTCCAGCCCTGAAGCCTACTTAGAGGATCAGGGGACTTAGTAAGTAAGGTTATAAGTCCCCTAACTAGGGTTATAAGTAGTTATAAGTATAGTTACCTTAATTTATAGCCTTAGTTACTAAGTCCCATGATCCTTTAAGTAAGACCCAAACATGGATGCATGACGTGACAAGCGACGGCTTCTACGATGCTTCCGGTGTAACTACCGAGCAAAGAACACAACTCATCACCTTCTGCACAAACCCGACTTTACCTGAAACGGAGGCCAAGAGGAGCGGATTCACGTGACCCTGTCGTGACAACTGTCATAGCAACAGCGGATATTCTTGCTGCTTCTGGTGATGCGGTGTCGGCGCCAAGTTTATTTCGCAGCCCTGCTCTCTCCTGCTTTGTCCTCATGGGTGAGAAACAGATGGCTCTAAAAAGCTTCAAGACCAAGACCCTCCACACCCTGATCTCCGATCGATCATCCACCAGCTTAAACCCCTAAACCCTAAACCCCTGAACCCCTGAACCCCTCAACCCCTAAACCCTAAAACCCTACACCCCTACACCCTAAACCCTAAAGCGTCCTCCACCAGCTTGAGCCGCTCGGCACGTCCGGCATCACCCGCAGTTGACGGCAGCGCAGCGAGCATGGCTTCCTAAGAACGCATTCGGCTAAGGGCTTCAGGGCTTGAGGGTTTCTACGGCGTCGTTCTTGAATTGAGGGTTGAGGGTCTGGGGTTTGGGGCTTAAGGTCTCTTGCAGGGTGTTGAGGGCCTTGGGTTTCGAGCACTTCATGTCGGGCCGATAGATAGGCTGAATAACGCCGCAGGGTCCAAAGCACATCAGGCAGTGACAGATTCGGGTTCCACAACGATGATTGAAGCCTCCCTTGCCTTAGCCCTGGAAGCACTGCACCTAAAAAAAGCCCCCAAGGTCCTAACTGCAAAACTTTGAAGCTCTGAGCCCCTAAACCCTAAACCCTAAACCCAAAACTGTCCGAAAACCCGGTCCCTGGAGCATATCGCCCTAACCCCCAAAGAAGTTTAGCCTCTGTGCCCAGCCCTACCCCATCGCAAACGCTAAATCCTCCAAAGCCCTAGACTCAAAGGGGAAAAGGAGGGACCCTTAATGGGGACCCCTACCCAATAATGGGCTACAGAATGGGTATATAATGGCTATATAACGGGTATATACCTAGGGGTCCTTATTAAGGGTCCCTCCTTTTTACCCTTGGATAGACAACAAGAACCCCCAAAACCCCCATGTAGCTGCCCCCCTGCTGGCTGCCGCCCAAAGCTCGGCTACCAAGCCTCTGACAACGGAACTTCGGCTCCGGGGTTGAGGGCTCAGGGTTCAGGGTTTAAGCCTACTTAAAGGATCATGGGACTTAGTAACTAAGGTTAAAATTGAGGTAACTATACTTATAACTACTTATAACCCCAGTTAGGGGACTTATAACCTTACTTACTAAGTCCCCTGATCCTCTAAGTAGACTTCAGGGATTTGGGGTCGAGGGTTGAGGGTTCAGGGAGTTCAGGGTGTGAGTGCTCTGAAGGGCTAGACGGTAGGGGGCATCTTTACTTCAAGAATCAGCCTAAACCTTAAACCCTCAACCGCAAACCCCTAGGCCCTGAACCCCAAGCCCAAGCAGACGATAACTGAATTGGGGCTATAAGTACCATCAGCATGGTTCACGGAGTCGTCGAGCTGACAAAGCTTAGGGCCCTCAAACAACCCTAAACCCGAAACCCTAAACCCTCAACCCTAAACCTATATCCTAAACCCTAAACCCCTAAACCCCTAAACCCGAAACCATGAGCACACTAGACCCTCAAACCCCGTCATCCCTCAAAGCCCCCTCTGTCAGACCCCTGCCCTCAATCCAATTCTAAACCCTCAAGCCCCTCGAATATCCCTAAATTTAGCCCCAAACCCTAAACCCTAAAACCCTAAACCCGAATACCCCTAAACTAAGCAGGGATGCTACAGAAGAGGAGTCCTTAACTCCAGGGATGGTGGATGATCTTGGAATCTTCGCCTACGAAGGCTGAGACCCTCAAACCAAAGCCCCAAACTGAACCCTAAATTTGCCCTAAACTTCAGCCCTGAACCCCCCAAAACTGAACCCGAAACACAAACCCTGAAATGCCAACCTCTAAATGAACCCTAAACTCGACCCCCTAAACCCAAACCCTGAAATGCCAACCTCTAAAAGAACCCCTAAACCCTAAACCCCTATACCCTAAACCCCTAAACCCTAAACCCTAAACAAAACCTGAACCCTAAACCCCTGAATGACGGTCCTGCATCTCCTTGAATTCCAATGTCGACCGCCTTCGTCAGTCCGATCCGCTCGCCGTTGATGTCCACCTGACAGGGCTTAAGGCTTGGGAGCTGTGCGACTCTACATAAATGTACATATATACATATATACATGTATATTATGTCGAGAATAGATATAATAAGTATAAATATATATATATATATATATATATATATATATATATATATATACATACATACCGTTTTATACATATATATATATATATATATATATATATATATATATGCATATGCATGTACGGAGTTGCTTCAAGTCGTTAAGATCTTGGGGCCTTACATACGTGTCTGGGTATTTTGCTTGTGCGTAGCGTCTACGTGAGACTTTGGGGATTTACGTATGGGGTCTTAGGGTTTCAGGCTTCCGAGTTCGGGGTGCAAGGCGATTTAAGTTTCAGGCGTCGGGGGTTCACCTTCATAGGGGCCGGGGCCCGAGATGTCATGCATCGTTTAATCTAGTCTAGGATACCCAGTAACCTAAGAACAAAAAGGCCTCTCTTTTTGGTATTGGGTAACTTTATAAGGAACCTAGGACTACAAAAAAGGAATAAGGGTACTACTGGGCATCCTAGTAGTATATGATACACCAGAACCTGAACCCTAAACCCAAGACTGCACCCTAAAACCGTGAGCAATTGCTTTGAACTCATGTGAAACGATGCCGGGTTGGGGTCCCAAGGAGCGCTACTCCTACCTTACTGCACCCTGAGTACTAAACCGTCCCCAAGGACCCCTCAGCCATAAACCCTCAAGACCCTCAAACCCTGAACCCTCAACTGCAACCCCTAAATCCTAGAATCCTAAACTAAAAAACTCGAACACTTAACTTGAAAGCCTTATCCTAAACTCTAACCTTGAAACCCTTAACCTAAAAGGCCTGAATCAGCTTGGCATCCTTTGGCCAGTACTCGATTCCGTAGCAGGGCAAGGTTGAGAAAGGATTGAGCCTGGATCGGGCGTGGGGAGTCTTGGGGGAGTTTGGGACTTCGGGCTTCTACTATAGTCAAAGGGGAAAAGGAGGGACCCTTAATGGGGACCACTACCCAATTATGGGCTATATAATGGGTATATAATAGTTATATTAAGGGTATATACCTAGGGGTCCTTATTAAGGGTCCCTCCTTTTACCCTTGGATATAGGGGCATTTCTAATTTCAATAGGGTTTTGGTGCCCATTATACTATAGTTGTCTTTCTTTGGGACTTCATCATTAGCTTAGGTTTTATAGTGTAGGGGCCTTAATAATTAGACTAGGATTTTGGGGCCCATTATACTATGTTCATAGTAAGGAACCGAAATTTGTATACGTAATAGTTTAGGCCCCGATGGTATATGGTTTAGGGTTCCGGATAAGGCAGCGGTCTTCAGCCTCAACCCTAAACCCCTAAACCCCTAAGCCCCAAACCCCTAAACCCTAAACCCAAAGCCCCAAACCCCTGAGACATAGGAGTTTGCAGGGGTCTACGGGATTCCTTGGGGCGGAGGGCTTCGATGCTTTGGGGTCTACGGTGCTGCACCTGAAATGGGCTGAGGCATAGGCAATCAAGCCTCGACTCTAGAGTCTATTCAAGGCTACAAGATTAACGTACGGGCCTTAATAGTTAGAATAGGGTTTCGGGGCCCATAACCTTTTAGCCGCAGCGTGGATGTTTGGGCAGGTCAAACCAGCTGACTGTCGCATCGGGTATTGGGCTTCAATGACCGTTGCCCCAGCCGGTGATTTCAGACCCTAAGCCCTGCGCCCTGAGCCCGAGCATACCATGGAAGCAGAAGCTAAGGCTTGATTGAAATTGAATATGTTCGTCTGCCACACTCTAGCAAGTTCGATGTAGATGACACCGAACAACGTCGGGATTCAGGGTTTTCAGATCGGACTTTCTTGTAAAGTGCAAGGGACTACCTAAAGCCGCAAGAGTGACGTCAGACCCTGCAGAGCAAAACGCGCTTTTTCGGCTATGCGTCCACGGCTCCTGCTTCCGGACACTTTTCTGTGGCACACTGCTGGAAGTGCACAAGGCCTCGACAGGAAACAGGCATGGACGGCAGAGATTCTGGCTCTACGCAGCTTCGTCCTAAGCTCTAGAACCCGGCTAGGTCTTCTATGGAATATCTTGCTTGCGTTAGCGCCATCCATAGTGAAACTTGACGGCACTGCTATACCGGTTAGACCACCCTAACCATCGCACGCTTGAAAAAACACTGGATTTCGCTTGAAAATACCAATCGATTCTGCTGCGCTTGAAAATACCATGTGCGCTTGGCATTTTCTATCGGACCCGCTAGGAATCGGTTGGGATGCTATTTTCTCCGCTAGGTTCTCCGCTAGGTTTTTATCATCGATTCCGCAAGGTTTTTCATCAACGATTTCGCTTGGTTTCCCGTGCCCAGCACACCAAAAACATCGAGCCCAACCCGGAATTCTGAAGCACACAGGTCTTCACAGGTTTTCACAGAATTTCACAGGTTTTCACAGAATTTCACAGATCTTCACAGATTAGTCTGTGAAGATCTGTGAAATTCTGTGAAGATCTGTGAAATTCTGTGAAGATCTGTGAAAACCTGTGAAGATCTGTGAAAACCTGTGAAGATCTGTGAAAACCTGTGAAACCAGAAATCGCAGGCTTCAAGCCCGGTCAAACACCCGTGCTCCTGAATGCTCCGCTTGGTTTTTGCTATATGCTGCTATTGGTTCCCCGCCAGGTTTTTGTTTCGCTTGGTTTTCACAGAAAACTAGTGGATCCGCTTGAAAATATCAATCGGACCCAATCCGCTTGAAACTACCAATCGAATCCGTTTTTTTCTGTCGGCCGATGGATAGGGTAAATAAATAAGTATATATATATATATATATATATATATATATACATATACATATATACACATACATACATATAATATACCATCAGAATCTGTTCTAATTACTTCAGGCCCTCTGCTAAACCCCGAACAGCCCTAGGCGTAACCCCATGGACCCCTGCACAGGAATCCCAGTCTAGCTATTCAGCCCCCTGTAGTATTGACTTCTGAGGCCTTGACGTCGTTTTGTGACATGTCCCCATAAAGGAGCCCCGTAAACAAAGCCTTTCAGGGAACCTGTAGAGGGACAAAACGCATTTTGGAGGCTCTTATTATACACCCTAATAATATGGACTTCCCTAACCATCGCACGCTTGAAAAAACACTGGATTTCGCTTGAAAATACCAATCGATTCTGCTGCGCTTGAAAATACCATGTGCGCTTGGCATTTTCTATCGGACCCGCTAGGAATCGGTTGGGATGCTATTTTCTCCGCTAGGTTCTCCGCTAGGTTTTTATCATCGATTCCGCAAGGTTTTTCATCAACGATTTCGCTTGGTTTCCCGTGCCCAGCACACCAAAAACATCGAGCCCAACCCGGAATTCTGAAGCACACAGGTCTTCACAGGTTTTCACAGAATTTCACAGGTTTTCACAGAATTTCACAGATCTTCACAGATTAGTCTGTGAAGATCTGTGAAGATCTGTGAAATTCTGTGAAGATCTGTGAAATTCTGTGAAGATCTGTGAAAACCTGTGAAGATCTGTGAAAACCTGTGAAGATCTGTGAAAACCTGTGAAACCAGAAATCGCAGGCTTCAAGCCCGGTCAAACACCCGTGCTCCTGAATGCTCCGCTTGGTTTTTGCTATATGCTGCTATTGGTTCCCCGCCAGGTTTTTGTTTCGCTTGGTTTTCACAGAAAACTAGTGGATCCGCTTGAAAATATCAATCGGACCCAATCCGCTTGAAACTACCAATCGAATCCGTTTTTTTCTGTCGGCCGATGGATAGGGCAGTGAAGCATCATGTTCGGAGCAACATGCTTACCATTGCCACTCTCTCTACAACTGTCCAGTCTTGTCGTCATTGGGATGGGAACAAGCAGTAATTACCATTATTCCGTAGGACGCACTGTAATAGTTACAGGTACCCCAAACCCCGAAACCCGATTCTAATTATCAAGGTCCTTCTATTCCGCACGAGCTTCGCTTCTAAATCTAAAGGAGACGAAGATTTGGACCCCAGGTTTTGCAAGCGGGCAAGAAAGCAAGCCCGCGGAGAAGAAATCGAGCACGACGGAAAACAACTAGTCCTGAACGGGTGGATCTGAAACCCTAAACTCTATACTGATGATTTGGGGTTTGGGGGAGAAGCCTACACCCGCCTCAGACCATATGGAAATCCATAGAAAACCCTTGCAGATCCCTGACCGAACCCTTATGGAACCCCGGAGAACACTCTCAGACAACCCTGAAGCCCCTTGCTCATGGCCTGTGGGTAGGCTTTGGTTTATCTGAAAGACCTCTTTCCAAAAGGACCAGAGCCTTCGCCTCGTGCAGGGGCGTGATCAAAAATGGGAATGGGAGGTTCAGGATTTAGGATTTAAGGTTTAGGATTTGGGATTCAAGGGGGTCGAGGGTTTAGGGTTTTGGGTGCTTTTTTACGGGGTAAGAAAGTACGGGGCTTTCATAATAAGTTATCCTAAAAATAGGGCTCCTGTAAGGCTTCGTTAGGAGGTTAGTTTTCCAGGTTTTGTAATGGTTCCATGATACAAGGGAGAATAAGGTTTGGGGCAGTTTATGGTGTAGCTGTAGTCGGGATCCCCAAGGAAGGGAATTACAAATTATTTACTCAGGCGTCCAAACTAGTAGGGTTTTATACGGTTTCCGGGTTAGGCTTGGGGTGTGTTTCGGGTGCGGGTGGAGGGCTTGTGACGTGGGGAAGCTTTTGAGACTCAGCACGATAATCTTGTACTCCGTCATATCAGATTTTGCATCGCTGTATTCGCACCAGCCCGTATCCACTATGCAGCGCTAACCTATCTGATAGGCCCCTATTGAGGTTTAAGCCTTGAGCAACTACTTCGCTTGAGGGTTTTCTACAGTACTTTAGGGCCTTGATAATCCCCTATACTATTTGGGGGTTCCGTATGATCATTATGGTATAATACACCCCAACCCCGGCAATTATTTAAGGCCCCTACTATAAAACCCTAATTATTATTGATCCCATTTAGAACCGTTTAAGGATCCCTTTAAAGGAACCCATTCTAATTATTACGCCCTTATAACATCCCCGCACCTGTAGGAGTCGGGGCGCCAGACGTGTATGTTCACGTGCGTCTCCTGGCTGGAGGCTCGACTCCTCTTGGGCTGGGGTTCAGGGTTTAGGGTTTAGGGTGTGTAACAGTATGTGCGCGCTGGGTGCGCCTTTTACTTTCGGAATACGGGCGCACTCACTTATCGTGCGCTTGCGTCTGCATGTAGTCCTGCCCCAGCCACCCCAACTATTCTCAATTAGGGTTTAGGTTTAGGGTTCACCCCCCAAACACGCAGGGAGGGCAGGGGCAGGGCAGAGGCAGGGCAGGGGCAGGGCAGGGAGGGCAGGGCGGGGCAGGGCCAGGGCAGGGCAGGCCAGGGCAGGGCAGGGCAGGGCAGGGCAGGGCAGGGCAGGGCAGGGCAGGGTGGAGGGGAACCTCCGCAGCGACATTCGTTATGTGGAGGTCCAAGCTCCCTGCACGGCCTGGATCAATCCGCAGGCCTCGGATGGTCAGCTTCTTGACGTGCTGACCTATAATCCGCCGGAGGTCCGCATGCGCATTTTCTTTATCCTTTTGGCTTTGGAACACCGCACGCGCCCAAAAACCACCGTGGTTCCCAATTTGACAGGGTGACGCATGTCCCTGTATACCGGGAGGCTTTACCCTCCCTCACCGTCCTGTCCAGATGCTCGGCCGGGGGCCTGGGTCGGAGGCTCGAGCGCCCATGCAAATGGTCAGCGGCGCGCTCGGCAGTTTTGAGTTCAGGGCTTGGATTTCGCCTTCTAGAAGTTGGGTTTAAGCCAAGCTCACATGCGGGGCACACTGGCGAAATAGATTATTGTAACCGGAAAGATTTGCCTATCTATCTATCTATGTATACCTACCTACCTACATACATACATACATACATCGTTTAGGGTTCTGGAATTTTCAACTGTCCAACTTCCGGCTTTTTGCGTTTGATGAGGTGCGGTTTTCTGTCAGCGTAGCGGTTTGCAGCGTTTGTGTTCCAACTGTGTTTTTCTTTGTGATGAACAGGGGAAAGTCATACCAGATTTCAAAACCTTTATTTCTGCTTGCATGCTGATGGTATACCCAATAAACCCCAAACCCTAAAGTGGCAGTTCCTTTCGGTCAGTATAAAGATGCACACACAAACACATGTTGGATACTAAAGTTTTCATACATACATACATACATACTTATATATATATATATATATACATACACACATACATACACACGTACACACGTACACACGTATACACACGTATACACACACATGTGTATATATTTATATATGTATATACATATGGGTGGTTGTTAAAATTATGGTCCCTTTCTGGGTCCCTATTATCATGCAGCACTTATTATTTTGGGTAACCAAAAATGGACCTTAATTTTGACAACTACCCATATGCATATATACATTCGTATATATACAGTTGTATATATATATATATATACATGTGTTGAAAGGTAACCCAAAACACAGACCAGGATCCGGAGTGCACTCGCAGTCGACCAGGTACTCCTGAGGTGCACCGCAAACCGGCGTTTAGGATGTCTGTACCCATACTTCTCAATATTGGTATTGCCATTGCTATGATCATCGCTACTATCATTACCATTAGCATGATTGTTTCAGCTGCTGATTGTTATCACGATGGCGGCCTCTGCACAGCAAACTCATGTTGCAGGATTCGGCACTCTGGAATTGCAAATGGAAAGGGCTGGAAGTTCATTGTCTAATGTAGGGGCCTTCTTTCGTTCGGGCAGGCTCAAGGTCCGAAGGACCTGCCTACTTGAAGGCTCATGGGACTTAGTAAGTAAGGATATAAGTAGGTTATAATTAGGATAACCCCACTTAGGGGACTTATAACCCCAATTATAACCTACTTACTACGTCCCATGATCCTCTAAGTATAACCAGACCAGCACCATGCGAACTCTGGAAAGTGCTTTATAATCCCCTGCGTGGGCTCACTCACTACTCAGTAGTGCGCGGTGCAGACATCTGTGTGATCGCAGAGCCAGGTGTGGACGATGCTGTGCATGCGGCCGGTAGCTCAAAGCAGAAAAACCGAAGCACTAGCACTTCATCACACCCGAAATAAAAAAGCTATGCCCAAGCCTTCTCAGGTTTAGCCGGAAATGCAAAGGCATCCTGGAAGGCACTACGAGCTACCGCGAATGCCGTGTAAAACCGAGACTGAAGGATAAAGTCACTACCGTGAAGGAAGTTTACCCTCACATGATGGCTTCAACGAGTCAATGACAAAGCTGCTGCCTCGAAACCGAAAGGCTATGTTCCACAGAATCGTGGACATAGCCCTGGACACAGCCATAAACCATGGAGTCTCACCCAATCCCAACCGAACACCCCTAGTTGAAGCTTGCCCAACTGGGCACTGTGCCAGGATATGGCACTCTCGAGCAAGCACGCACCCAAGCTTGAGGCAAGCATCCATCGAGAGTTGGTAGGACTCAGAGTTCAGCTGGAAAGCCTTCAGGTAGTGCTCCGCATGGTACATGGTCACCTCAAAGCAGGCAGCATAGGTTAAGGAAACAAGGCGCCGTGCTGGCCGCATGTAAAACAAGGACGCCTGGGATGAAGATCATGCAATGATGATGATGGTGATGATGATGACAATGATAATGATGATGATGATGATGATGGTGATGATGATGATGATGCATGCATGCATGCTGTGGTCACGATCGCCGTCATGATGGCGATTGCGATGCTGATGGTGATGATGGTGAACAACCTTCATGTTCACGGCTGGTGATCGAACACGATTGAAACTGAAACCGTGATGAGAATTGCTCCGGCAGACTTGCGCTTGCTGGACACAAACCTCGGGTCCGAATCTCGAATTCTTAGACCGCACGTGACCCACCTTGGGCCAGGGATATAGACTGTACAAGTTCCTGTGGGGCTGAAACGCCCCTTCGGAGATTAGATTGTTTCAGAATTTCGTTGAGGCCGCTGCAGATATCTGCATCAAAACAGATGCACGCGAAACCCGGATCTAAGTCAAGATCCCAGAAACGAGGGCTCGAACCACTGCCCGCCCACCCGCCCGACCCTCAACGAATAACGAATCTGCATTATCTGCAGCTGGCCACGGTGGTGTCGGCTTTGTTCGCCACCAGAGCCACGCGTCGGCGTGCACGGTGCCGCAGAGCCAGGGATGTGGCAGGCAGCCTGTTCACAGCGACAACGGAAAGCTAATCTTGGTGTGTTCGCCATACTCGTCATTTGTGCATGTTCTTCTCGTCGATATCCGTGCAGCATTCAATACTGTGAGCTGGTACACTTCTGCTGAGGCTGATAGTTCGACACTTGCTACGACGACGACTCCTACTACTGCACTACGACTACTACTGCTACTACTGCTTCTGCTGCTACGGCTGCTGCTACTACTGCTACTACTGCGACTACTAACCACCGCTGGTGCTGTGGCTGAGAATCATCCAAGGATCCAGAAGACGGCAGCAGTCTGATAAACAAAAAACCTGCAGGCTAACTCCTAAACGTGCACTGAAACCCCGATCACAACGACACTGGCCGTTCAAGGCGACACCATACCCTGGCTCCATCAAAGCTGAAGAGGCAGACCTGAGATCCACGTTGACGCCAGTGATGCGGTGGACGAACCACCACGACCTCGACTGCTGACGCGTATCAGGCTCATGGTTGGAGTTTATTTTTAATGTGCAGTAGCCCCTTTGATCCGCAGGCAGAACGTCAGAGCTTGCACTCAAAACAGACCCTAGGCATCTCTCAGAAGGCGGAGGCTCGTCACGACTACGACTTCGATCCCGACCTCCACCATGCCAACGAGACTCACATTCATCACTAGCATGGTTGGAGTTTAGGGCTTGAGGTTTGCCCTATTAGTACGCTTTTTGGGGTTCCTTGTAGCAACCTTATAGTAACCCCATCGTAGAAGCATTCATCGTGAAACCCTGAGGCTAACCACACCCTAAACCCTACATCCCCAAACCCCTAAACTCCTAAACCCCGAAATCCTAAACCCTGAAGCATCCCCAAGAACTCGGATGGGGCGCAGATCTAAGCCCAAAGAAGCGATCGCATCGCCAGCGACCTGTCGCAGGTTCGGAAGTCCTAGTTTCGCGTTAAGGGCTTAGGGGCTTCGGGGTTTAGGGGTTTCGGGGTTTAGGGTTTAAGGGTTTAAGGGTTTACGGCTTAGGTCGGGGTACTCGAAGCTTCGGATAGGAGGTTCCAAGCTACAACTCCTGAACCCTGAAACCCCAAACCGCCCTGCAGCTAAACTAGCAAATCCAGGAACCCTACCACCCAAACCGACACCCAAGTAGAAGAGGGCTTTGGGGGTATATATTCTACTATAGTTTTAACACAGAGCCCCGAAAATGTGTAATTATTTGGGCTCTTATATTAGACTCGAAGCGATGGATTGCCACGATCGTTATGGTGATTACCGTCCCGAACACGCTCCTACTATGATCCCTTAGCTTCCCGTAAACCTGAAAGACTGACTCCAGAACCTCCCGGCCTTGCGGATTCCCTGAAACTAAACCCCTAAATCTTAACCCTTGTTCCTAGTCAAATGAAAACCTCAAGCCGAGTTTAGGGTCGTTTTGTGGGGTGCTTGAGGGCTTTTCATAAACCCTCAACCATACCCGAAACCCTCGACCCTACCCTAAACCGTGAGCCCTCAACCCTAATCCTATACCCCAAACTCCTACCACCCTAAACCCTCACAAATCCCTCTACCTGGCCCTAAGCTCCTAAACCTGAAAACACAAGCTCCAAATATAGGGGCCTTAATGTTTGGTGTACAATCTTATGCCATAGTTAGAAGACGGAATCCCCCAAAATATCATCGCTAATTATATAGGCCCCTTTACTAAACTCTTTACAAAACCCTAAACCCTAAACCCTATAAACCCTATAAACCCTAAACCCCTAAACCCCTAAACCCCTAAACCCTAAACCCCCAAAACCTCTACAGCCCCTTTATCATAGAGCCCTGATAGTATCCCTTAAAGTAACCCTTATAGCCCCCTTTGACAGGAAACCTTAAAGGGAATCCTATTCAAATTATTAGGGCCCACCTAACCACTGGTTTTGGGGGTTCGTTTGGCTCTTTAGCTCCATATTTAATCGGGATTATCATCATCCCTGGCTCCTTAGCTCCTCCAATATCAATGGTTCGCCATTTCTGAAACTCTCCACCAGGGTGGGCCTCGGCTACGCCGCCTCGGAGCGCTTCTCTGGGGTCGAAGAGGGCAGAATCCAACCAGGCAGCCGGAATTCTGGGTTCCTTGGGTCGTGCTGTCGGGTTTAGGGTTCAGGGTTCAGGCTTTTTTTCATGAGCGTTTAGGGTTTAGGGCTTTTTCTTGAGGGGTTGGGGTTTAGGGCTTGGGGTTTAGGGTTTAGGGTTGAGGGTTGAGGGTTTAGGGTTTTATAAAACAGAGGTGTAGTGCAGTATAACACACGCCGAACTCTGGGTTCCTTGGGTGGTTGCGTTGTGTGAGGGCATTGGGCTTTACGTGTTGGGATCGAGGTTCCTTGCTATTTAGGGCTTTTTGTGCGGGGTCCGAGGGTTTCGGGTCTAGGTGAGGTTCAGAGTTTGAAGTTTAGGGTTGGGTTGGGGAAGGGTGAAGGGTTGAGGGTGTACAGAGGGTTTAGGGCTCAGGAGAAGAAAAGTGTGGGGATTCAGCCACTTTCTCCCTAAGAGACTTCAACCCAACCCTGCAGTTAAATCGCCCCAAACCCCGCAAATCGCAAGCTCTAAACCGGAACCCCAACCGCAAGCCTTGACGCCGGAACCCCAAACCCCAACACCCGAACGTCAAGCTAATCCCTAAACCCACTGATCAATAAACACTTGGCCTCAAACGCTAAACCCTAAACCCTAAACCCTAATCCCTAAACCCTAAACCCTAATCCCTAAACCCAAACCCCTAAACCCGAATCCCTAAACCCTAATCCCTCAACCCTAAACCCTAAATGCCAAAACTGAGCAAGGTCAGAGCTGCCATCCCCAGCGCATTCGCGACGGCCAGGCCACCCATCGAGAAGCCTAGAACGCCGACCTGATGCGGGTGAGGCTGAGCATGTGTAATTAATATTGTAACCCTTAGAACCCTTGTATAGTAACCCCGACAAGGATCCTTATAGTGCCCTTATGTTACCCCTAGAACCCCTATATAGTAGGTGGAGGCTGGGTACTCAGGGCTCTTGATAATTAGGCTAAGGCTCCCGGCTCCCCAAAAAAAACCTTAAACGACACTTTTTGAGTTCTAGAACAGTATTACAAGGGTTTAGCATGGGGGTCGCTGCGTGGAGGCTGGCCCGCATTCTCTCTTCAGAACCCGTTAAAGGTTTAGCATGGGGGCCTTGATAACTCGAACCGGGCTTCGCTGTATGTTTTGGTATATTGTATAGTCAGAATCAGGAGCCCACCACGAGGCAAACCCTAAACCCCAAACCGGCGAAGAGGGTTCGGCGGCTTCGGGTTCAGACAGCTGCATTGCGCGAAGGAGAGCACCCCACCTGCGATGGCGGACGAGCTCGACCGAGCTGCCCTGCAGGGCTCAAGGGAAACAATTAGGGGTTTCGGGTTTAGGGCTTATAGGGTTTAGGGTTTCGGATTTAAGGTCTCGGGTTTAGGGTTTATAGGGTTTAGGGTTTTGAGTTCAGGGCTTTTTGGAATTTTATTAAGGTTTTGCTCAACGGAAACCGTTTGCACTCGACTTTAGGGTAAGGGCTGCAAGCCTTCAACGGAAACCTGATTTAGGGCATGCTGCACATCACATTCCACCTATGGAGGTTAAGGTTCCCAAGTGGTCTTGGTTGCAGATGTCCTCATGTCCTGTAAAGTTTCAGAGCTCGAGTTCCCCAACATCCAAACTGGGGATTGGGGCGCTTCTTCTTTTACTCTTCAGCTGTTCGGGGAAGGCTACGAGCCTTAACCCCAAGGCCCTAAGCCTTTATGCGCCGTCCTTGGGGGTCCGCCACAGCATAGTCCCAGGCGCCCAAGACATCCTTTGCTGTTGGCAGTTTTGGCTTCGTTTGGGTTGAGAGCAATTAGAGGCCTTAGCGAATCGTGCTAATCCAGTTGATAGCGGGCTGTAGTCTCAGGCTTAGGCTCCAAGGACTAAGCCTGAACCCCCGCCCGGTCACTTTTGGAATCCGCACTCCGATTCCGAGGTCCATCCCGTAAACCTTGCGTCACACACCTTCTGGGGAGGGGGCCAAGCATCGAGCCAAATGGCACATCCGTTGGACGAATATAAGAGCCCCGACCACAACCCTCTACACATAAAAGGCAAAACGCCGCGACAGCAGTAGCGCTCTTCCCCCTTGCGCCTACCCATGCAAGCTTCCTACCCTGCACTTGCTTCTCTACATGCCTAGGCCTGTCTGTGGTGGCTCCAAAATGCCAGGCAGGTGTCGAGATGGTAGGCCCAACCGAAAGTCCTCGGACAGGGCTTCGGGCTCAGGCTTCGGTTTTTTATCAAAACAAAACCGTTGAAAGGGCAACCTCGAAGCCCCAAGACGACAGATCCTAAAGCCTGCAACCTTGTCCCAAAGTTTCAGAGTACAACCCGTGAATAGCAGGGCTTAGGGTTGAGAGCCCAGGATGGCGCTCATTGTCACTGTCAATAACATGATTGGCACAAGGAGTTGTTTTGAAGCCAGAATGACTAGGGCATGCTATTGCTGTATGGATTCTGTAGAGATCAGTGTGGCGTGCAGCACCCAGGCTGTTCGTGTCATTCGTTTGCCCCCTCAGCTGCTGATTACTCCTAGGATACCCAGTAACCTAAGAATAAAAAGGCCTCTCTTTTTGGTATTGGGTAACTTTATAAGGAACCTAGGACTACAAAAAGGGAATACGGGTACTACTGGGCATCCTAGCTGCTGATTACTCCTGATGCTCTCGCAGAAGTCCTTTGGTCTGGAAGGCCATTCCTACTTCTGCTGCCGCTGCTGTTGCTACCGCTACTTCTGCCGCCAGGCGGCGTGTTTTTTACTGTTACCGGACCTTATTATAGTAATAGTAACAGTAATAGTAACAGTAATAGCAGTAGTAATAGTAGCAATAATAGTAGCAATAGCAACTCCGACGTCTTAAACTTTGGTGCCTCGCGATTGATCTTGGGCCCTACAAGCCCTCATCCCTCAGCCCGTCTCGGCTGTGTCGGTTGAGGGCTTGCGGTTTACGGTTTCGGGTTTACCGTATTGGGGCTTAGTGTCCCTGAGCCCTAAAGACTAGACCCTAATACGTTGGAAGCTGCCCCCACCCTGTTAGTGACTATAAGGATTATAGAGGATTATATAAGGGGCCCTATTATGTTCCTATTATACCACTATTACAGGGTGGGGGCAGCTTCTATCCAATACGGTTTAGGGTTGAGACCGACGCTTCTGCAAGGCCTCGGGGTTCCACGGAAGCTCCACAGACGTGAACCTCAATGCCTCAACCTCTAACCCTAGCACTAGTCCCAAATCCCAACCCCAGCGCCTTAGCAATTGCCTGCACTACTTTGGAGGTTCCTTATTACAATGATAGTATAATTTACCCCAAAACCCTATTCCAAGTATTAAGGCCCCAATATTGACCCTCAGCTTAGTGACTCGTACATGGTTGAGGTGTTCGAAGAGAGCCCATGGTTTCCTTGGCGGCTGAGGTTGCCGGGCTCACCGATACTCTTCGAGCTTAGGGTCTTGTGGGTTGGGGGCTTTGATGCCTGAGGGTTCTAGGGTTCAGGGTTGCAGGGTTCAGGGTTTAGGGCTTAGGGTTTTGGGGTTTTAAGGCCTAGGGTTGAGGATTTAGTGTTTCAAGGTCTAGGGTTTCGGAGGTTGATGGGTGGGGGCTTGGAGCTTTAGCACGTTTGGGTTCTATGTAAAGCGCTTGACAGACTCAGATACCCAAAACCTTAAAAGCCCCTAGACCCGGAATCCTTAAGCTGAAGCCCTTACAGATCCTTTCTTCTAGAACTCACGACAGAAACAGAACCCCTAAACAACAAATCGTGTAAAGCTCGCGCAAACTTATCTTAAACAACCAAAAAACCGATCAAAACTAGACCCTTTAAACAAAGCTTCGAACAGAAGCAGCCCTTTCGAATGTGAGCAGAAAATCACGAAACATTCGGCCCAAACGGCGGAGGTTCAGCACGAGGACGCTGATGCCCAGGCTACGAAGGAGATGACCCACCAGCTGGACGCCTCAAGGGTTTTGGGTTCAGGGTTTGGGGTTTAGGGTGGACTTCAGGAGTTTGGGGATTTGCTTTTAGGGCTCTGGGGTTGCAAGGTTTAGGGGTGCTGAGGGTGTAGCGGCTTAAGGGTTGACGGATGCGGGGTCTGCAAGTTTAAGGGGCTTAGTGGTGATATAAGGGGGTTTCGTCTTTACGAGGTTGCGGCTTGAGGGGTGTTTAGTATTGGGCTTCAGCGTACGTTTAGGGTGTCCGGGTTTGACTTACATAGCGTTGAGGGTCTAGCGTGTAGAACTGTTTTGGAACTTCCCTTCTGTAGGTTTATCGTACTGTATAATATGAGGGCTTCTTGAACGTCTTGTTGAACAACCTGGGAGCATCAGGATTAAGTTCTACCTGAACCCTGGACCATGGAACCATAGTCATTGTTGTTGCTATGATCAGAGTGTTCCGTTTCCTGTGAACAGAGCTTCGCGCTGGAAGGGAGTCGGATGTTGAGTTTATGGTTTAGTATGCTTTCGGGCTCTTTTAGTCTTTGGTGATTTGGGTTGGGGGGTGGATATTCAGGCTTACAGGAAAATTTGGAACCTCGCGTCCCACACTTACATACACCAATCCCGGACCCACAGCCTCAATTCAAATACTAAGTTACTATAGGGGCCCTAGTAAATAAACCAGGGTTCTGGGGAATATTGTAGTAGAATTATACATGGAAAACGCTATATTACCATCATCGACATACGTCCATGGCAGCAGTGGGACTCTGGTCATATCCGTTCGCTCCGTAGCCGTGGACCACGACGACCAGAGGCGACTCCTCGCTGCGATCTCGGACTTTCGGACTCACGGCATACGGCTTATGATATAAGTCCTGCATTACCTTAAGGACCCTAGGCTATGGGAATTATGGTCTATTCCTTATTATGGGTAGCGCAGGATCTACATCATCAACCGTAGGACTTTAGGATGAGATGCACTTGAAGGATCAGGGGACCTAATAAGTCAGGTAATAAGTAGCTTAAGTGAGGCTTTTTGTAGTTCTGAGCATAGCCACCTGTATAACCCTATTTACTAAGCCCCATGATTCCTTAAGTAGGATGTTGGATGTAGGTCTTGAAGCACCCAGCAGTGAATCTTCAGCTCGAAACCGACACCCAAAAGTCATGACAAGTGACCCCAATCTATGGCAGCACGGTAAACCACTGAGGGTTTTACAGTTTAATTAAGGTTTTGCAGTTTAGGGTTTTACAGTTTAAATTTTTTACAAAAAAAATAGGGTTTTACAGTTTAGGTTTTTAAAAAAAATTAGGGTTTTACAGTTTAGGGTTTTAGGGTTTAGGTTTTGCTCCGTTTTTTGGGGCGCCTCCACGCCAGGGCCCTGGGCTGGGAGAAACCAGGCCGCGAGCTCTGCCGTCTCCTGATCTGCCGCCCCTGGGCTCGAAGTGGTGTAGGGTTTAGGGTTTAGGGTTTAGGGGTTTAGGGTTTAGGCTTTAGGGTTTAGAGTGGGCTCGAAGGAGAATGTGGGGGGGGTTCCGAAAATTAGGGGTACCTTACTTGGGGGTCCCTGGGCTTTTTGGGTCCTTAATATAGTACGGCACCTAATATGTAGGGTACCCAAAAAGGGACCATAATTTTGAAGGTTTGGGGCTTTAGGGGTTTAGGGTTTAGGGGAGTCAAGGTTTTAGGGTTTAGGGTTTAGGGGAGTTAAAGGTTTTAGGGTTTACGTAGTGTAGGAATCTGAAGAATTAGAACTAAAAGGTTCTAGAAGGGTTGATAGACGGAGCGTATAATCAAAGGTGCTTATATTCAAGAAGGGTTGTAGCCGCTGGTTGCTCTACGGTTAGCATAAGGGCTCCGCAACAGTTTGTTCGGGGTTTGTTTAGGGACTGGGGGTTGAAGGTCTCGGGCTCAGATTTTTTGAAGTTTGGGGCTGATGGCTTAGAACTCAGGCTTGAATAGCCTCAGTCCTGAATTGTCAAGGAGGACCGCCTTGAACGGAATACTGCTTTGGGAGGGTGCAACATGCGTGAGACCCACCGTATAGATTCTGAACCTAGCCTGTGGCTAGTTAAAGCTGTCGTTCCTAAGACCCTTGCCCCATGTGCCTTACCTACCCTACCCTAAACCCTAGACCCTAGACCCTAAACCCTAAACCCTAAACCCTCCCTAGCCCACCACTACATCTTGGGAACTCAGGAACCAGGAACCGTTACAACCCGAACCTGAGACACGACGAGGGCCGAACACTGCCCTGAACCCCGCAACAAACCCCCTCATATGAAGGGCCCTTGTACTTAGAAATACTTAGAACTTAGACTGCTTGGAGGATCAAGGGACTCAGTAAGGATTGAGGTGCTTTAATTGGTGTTATATGTAATTATAAGTACTGTAACCTTATGCATAACCCTAGCCGCTCAGTCCCATGGTCCTTTAAGCAGTATTTGGACGTTCCGTCTTCAGTCCCTAAATCTCAAAATCCGAGAAAACGCCAAACTGAAAACCCCGAACACAAGCCCGATACACTAAACCCCGAAAGCCCAAAACCCTGACAAACTCCAAAGCCTAGACGCCGAACCTTAAACCTGAGCCCCCCAAACCCAGAGTCTCCAATATTCCTTAAGTAGGGAAGATACCTTAAATCGTATTAAGGATCCTACTATAATTTAAGGAATAGTCCTTAGCTAAGGGATATTGGAGTCTCTGGGAACCCGAAGCCCCAACCCCCCCCCTTCAGCCCCCGTCTGAAGGGGCCTTGTCGGCTTGGAAAATTGACCAACTTCCACGGCTCTTGTTCCGATGTTTCGTAGAAGTCCTCGCTTTTGGGGCTTGGGGGTTAAAGGCAGCAGAATTTAGGGGTTATAGGGTTTAGGGTTCAGGGTGTAGGGCTTAATATCGGGGCTTTAATAAATGGAATAAGGTTTTGGGCTATAGTTATAATCAGGAACCCCCAAAATAGTATTGGTAGTTATTATGGCCCCTATATTGTAGGGTTTAGGTGGCGGCTTTGAAGGCTTCAGGGTTGTAAGTTGTGAGGAATTTTCAGGGCATACCGGCTGGGAGAAATAGCTCTCCGGGTTAAGGGCATCTGCTGGGCGTCGCTTCTTTGGTTTAGGGTTCGGGCCTATGAGATTTGGGGTTTAAGGTTTGTGATTATGGGCTGAAAATTAGGGCTTTAGGGTTTGAAGTTCGAAGGCTCAAGGTTTAGACCCGATTTTGCAGGGTTTGTGATCTGAGAGACCTGGCCCTCTGCGGCTCTGCCTGCACGTCACGAGCCGCCATGCGGAGATCGTCGGGGACGCCGACGCCCTGTAGGCAGTTTCGTTTGCACACTGCGGCCGCCCGCTCCATCAGGCCCCTTGATGCAAAGCGGTGCAGTAGGGCTGCTCGGCTCGACGGAAGGTGCAGCCAGCAAACCTCGAGTCGGCCCCGGGACGATTTTTTTCGGCGGTGCCGCGTCCACGGTGGCCTAGTGGTCTAGGCACACTGTGAGGGAAGGTAGGTCCCGCAGCACCTGCATGCCGCGATGGGCCAGGCGGAAGCACAATTTGCGTGTCCTTCGGAGTTGAGGCTTCGGCGCCCCGACAGCACTCCTTTTTCCGCCATGCGAAAGACCCCCCGCGTTCGCGTAATGTGAAGCACAAGCAGTATCCGAATAGCAACGCCCTTCGGAAAATCAGGCCTCGAAACCTGGACCTAAAATAGAGGCCTTAATACCTACCTATATTATACTATTTTTTGGGGGGGGGCTCCTCCGTAGAATATATCCCAAAACCCTATTCGTATTGTTAAGGCCCCTTTTTGCTGCCTCTGTGATCCTAAAGCAGAATCATCAATCCTCAGGGTTCCCTAACAGTCGCTCTGCATTGCTTGGATCTTAGTGCAGACCGGAGTATCCAAAGTGCTTGGGCTCTAAGGTTTAGGGTTTAGGGTCTAAGCCCAGAAATGTTGTAAAAACCCTGCCACCAACCCGAATAACATTAACTATTTCCTAGTCAACTGTCGCCGTTTACACCCTTGCAACCCTCATGGAAACCGTTGTTCAAATAAGCCCTATAGGAACACTTCTAGTAAGCCTTAAACCCTGAACCCTCCCAAACTCCCCAAACTCCCTAACAGTTAGGAGGGTTTAGGGTTTAAGGCTCGTTCCCATAATACACTAGTTACTAAGTCCCATGATCCTTTTAAGTAGACCCTAAACCCTAAACCCTGTAGATCTTCTTTAAGGAACCCCCTATAGATTCCTTTAAGGACCCCTTTAAGGAACTCTGGGCTCTCCTCCATCAGCGCCTCACTGGCGCAGTACCCGAGGAACATGAACCCAGGGTACACCTCGCAGGTTGATCTAATACCGGGGCGTTAGTAGTTAGAATAGGGGTTCCTTTAAAGGGACCCTTAAAGGGTTACTAAAAAGGATCTATAAGGGTACTATGGTATAGGGGTGTTAGTAATGAGAATAGGGTTTTGGGGCCCAGTATACTAATATTAGAATGAGGAACCCCCGAAAATATTATTGGTGACAATTAAGGCTCCTTTAGTAGCGTGTCAGGGTTTGAAGTTGAGGGTTTAGGGGTTTCAGGGAACCCTAAACCCTAAACCCAGCTCCTTTCAAGGTTGAGAGTTTATGCATTGAACTCAGCTTCGGGTGTTGGGGGTAGCTTCGGCCCCTGGCGTTACTTGGAGTTCCTTAAAGGGGTCCTTAAAGGGATCTATAGGGGGTTCCTTAAAGGGATCTACAGGGTTTAGGGTTTAGGGTTTATTTAAAAGGATCATGGGACTTAGTAACTAGGGTTCTAAATACGGTAACTACACGTATAATTTTCTTATAACCCCAATCAGGGTACTTATAACCTTACCAAGTCCCACTATACTTATACGTAGTCACTTATAACCCTAATTAGGGTAGTTATAACCTCACCCAGTCCGCTTATAACCTTGCTAAGCCCCCTGATCCTCCAAGTAAGCTCCAGAAGCTTATGCCCTAGTCCAGGAGACGACCCAAAGCCAGCCAGTAGGGACCCCAAAAAGGACATAAGCATAAGCATTTTATAGGGATATCCCGACCTTAATGGGCTTCCTTATAAGGCGGGTTTATATGGGATATCACTATCCCAATTGTTGCTTGTGTGCTTTTTTGGGGCCTTTCAGCCAGATAATCATGTGCAAAGATGACACTACTGTTGATGATATAGACCCTGCATTACCCATAATAAGGAATATACCATAATTCCCATAGCTTAGGGTCCTTAAGGTAACGCAGGATTTATATCATCAACCGTACAACTTCAATCATAGGAGTGTCAAATGCTCTTGGGCCAGACTGAGTTTTGGCGTTTATTGGTGCAAAAGGGTTCTGGGCACAGGCCGGAACCTCGACGACCAAAAAAGGGATCCCACTGATACCCTTAAATCCCAAACCCCCAATCCCTGACCCAAATCTCGAAACCGTTTAGGCTCCAAACGCTACAGCCCTGAACCCCGCCTGCCCAAGGCCAAAGCCTGAAAGCTTTAATCCTAGAGGCTCAACAACTTCAGGATATTATTCCCACAACGCCGTAAAGCCTCAGTTCGGGGCGTAGTGGGGTTGAGGCCTTAGGAGCTAGCAAAACTTAGGGTTTTCAGTTAAGGCTTTTGTATTTGATGATTCTGATCGCAAGTTGACGACCTCGCACAAAAGAATCCCGGCGCGATCCACAACTCTCACTCAAGCCAACTCCACTGTGCAGCCAGAAACCTCAAACCCAAACAGAAACCTTAAACTTTAACCCTAAACCCTAAACCCCAAAAACTAAACCCTAAACCCTAACCCCTAAACCGTGCCCCAAACCCAGACCCGAGAATCCGACTATCCTTGCCTCAAAGGGGAAAAGGAGGCGATATACTGGGTATATAATAGCTATATTAAGGGTATATACCTAAGGGTCCTTATTAAGGGTCCCTCCTTTTCCCTTTTGATTGCCCCAAGCCCTGAGAGTGCCTTGTAGCTTATGTTGTCTGGCGTGACGGCGCGACCGCCGTACGAGACATTCCAAGTGCGGTCTTTGATTGCCACGAACTCCGCAGCTGCGTGGTGGCAGAGAAAGCACCACGAGGCCTAGTTCAGGCTTCAGGGTTTTGGTTTAGGGTTTAGGGTATAGGGTTCAGGGTGGCAGAGAAAACACCACAACTTGGATGATCCGGGGACTTAGTAAGTCAGGTTATACGAACCCTACTTGGGGTTAGAAGTATTTATAAGTATAGTTACCCTATTCATAACCCTAGTTACCAAGTCCCATGATCCTTTCAGAAGGCCGAATTGAGGCTTCAGGGTTCAGGGCTTCGGGAGAAAAAAAGCAAAAATATAGAAGCCTTGGGATTCTTGGGATTCAGGATGTTCGGCTCCATAACCTAAGTTTGAGTCGCAAACCCAAAAACCCAATTCCACAAAAGAGACCGGTGTTGTCGTATCGTGGAATTTGGGGTGTGGGGTGATGACCCCTCATAAATGCCAATTAGAGTAGGGCTTTGGGGTCCAAGATACTGGAATCATACTGGGGGCTCGAAGGGGATGGGTTTCAAAAGAAACCGACCCCCAACAGTCAATGCTGCCCCGAGTGCGCCGAAGAGTAAGAGCAGCAGACAGACAGCAGCACAGATCCAGGTCCGTGTGCGGGAAGATTGGGCCTCAACAGATGGGAGCCACTGCTCAACCCTACGCCCTAAGTCCTAAACCCTAATCCCTAAACTTGCTAAGCCCTAAACCTTAACCCTCAACCCTACTTAAAGGATCGAGGGACTTAGTAACTAGGGTTGCGAATAAGGTAATTATACTTATAATTACTTATCACCCCATTCAGGGGACTTATAACCTTACTAAGTCCCCTGATCCGCCAAGTAACTCCTAAACCCTTAACCCTGGGCCGACAGAGCTCGAAAATTCTCTCCTCAACATGTGGGTAGTTGTCAAAATTATGGTCCCTTTTTGGGTCCCCTAAATATTAGGTGCCGTACTATAATAGGGACAAAAAAGGGACCATAATTTTGACAACTACCCACGTGGTAGTTCTCAAAAGTGTGGTCCCTTTTTGGGTCCCCTAAATATTAGGTGCCGTATTATATTAGGGACCCAAAAGGGGCCGTAATTTTCACAACCACCCATGTATGTATCCATTGGCGCACGTCACCCTTCTGTCAATAAAATAGAGGAGTCGGACTAATATGGGGGGCCTTAATGATTAGAATAGGGTTTTGTTCGGGGTATGTAGAACTATAAGCGTAATAAGGAACCCCAAAATACGGTTGATGGTATAAATCCTGCATTACCCATAATCAGGAATATACCATAATTCCCATAGTTTAGGGTCAATAAGGTAATGCAGGATTTATATCATCAACCGTAGTATTGGTAGTAAAAGCTAGTCTCTGTCTAGTCACGTTATAACTCCAGCACAACACAACGCAAAGCCCTCTTCTAACTATAAGGCCCCGCCCCCATATTATGCCCCCCAAACCCTGAACCCTAGACCCCGAAACCCTAAACCGCCTATAAACCCTAAATCCCGACCCCTAACCCTAAACCCTAAACCCTAAACCGCCTATAAACCCTAAATCCCGACCCCTAACCCTAAACCCTAAAAGCAAGCCTTGAGCTCGCTGCTCTCCTCGAGCGACTGTAGCGCTGTCTCCTTCACGCGCGATGGGATTTCGGGCTCAGAGTTACCTTCTTGTCGAGTATCGTGGGGAACTAAACGTCAAACCTTTGGGAATATGTTGGGAGTATATAGGGATTAGAGCACCCCAAAACGATTAAAGGTTAATTACCTACTCTACTAGTAACGGATTATAGTACCCCAAACAGGTTGAAGGTTACCTGCTCTACTACTTACTAGAGTCCTACTAGAAGGGTCAGGGACTGTCAGGGGTTAGTGCCTCCTAGCGTTTAGGTCTTGTTCTGAGTTTAAGCTGCTTCAACTAAACCCTCTACGCACTCCCACCTTCAGCCCCTAGACCCCTAGGGTGGTTATGTGGGGGTGTGTATAGGTTGAGAACCCGGAAATTGAATCGACCTGCAAACAATCAGGGATATACATCATTGCCTCCTTTGTTTGGGGTCTTTTCAATTGAGGCACAAAACCTACAAACCACCCCAAAAAACAACTAAACTCCCACTGAAAACAACTAAACTCCCACTGAAAACAACTAAACTCCCATTAAAAACAACTAAACTCCCACTAAAAACAACTAAACTCCCACTAAAAACAACTAAACTCCCACTAAAAACAACTAAACTCCCACTGAATTCCCACTGGATTCCCCCTTCGTCCCACTGAATTCCCACTAAACTCCCACCAAACTCCCACTAAACTCCCACTAAACTCCCACTGAATTCCCACTCAATTCCCTCTTTTCGGCCTCGCCCCACTGAATTCCCACTAAACTCCCACTGAATTCCCTCTTTTCGGCCTCGTCCCACTGAATTCCCACTAAACTCCCACTAAACTCCCACCAAACTCCCACTAAACTCCCACTGAATTCCCTCTTTTCGGCCTCGTCCCACTGAAAACCCACTAAACTCCCACCAAACTCCCACTAAACTCCCACCAAATCCTTATGTTTTCCCTAGGTTTTCCCAGCACCCCGTTGCAAAGGAATTTATAAGGAATTATGTGGGATTTATGCGGTGTGAGGCCTAAGTTAAAGAAGGGTCACTTGAAGAAGCACGAAGGCGCTTTTAAGAAACAATCACTCAGACCTATAAACCCTAAACCTAAACCTTAAACCCCTACTAATCCCTATAGTTACTAGGTGTCCTCATCTAAACCCTAGACCCTAAACCCTACTAATCCCTAATTAGTTGCCAGGTCTCCTCATCGTCATCGGGCGCGATATGCTTGTAGTTGGAAGCCATGGCTGCGGTTTCGCGCCAGGGCAATGAAGAAATGTCGGCCAGGGTCAAGCAGAATGAGTGTTTCAGATTCGTCCAGCCCTAAACGAAACTCGTAACTAGTTCATGGTTAGGATAGTATTAGCAACTGATTGTGTTATAGCCATAAACACGTAACATATGTTACCCAACTATGATAAAGGTAAGCCTTAAACCGCCCTTAGCCAAGGCTAAGGGTTCAGATCGTCCGGAGTTCGATCCCCCAGAAACCTGAAGAATTGAAACCGGGGGGGAAGGTTCTAGGGTTTAAAGCCCGGTTTGATTTCAGAGCCCTGAACCTTCAAGCCTCAACCGTACACCCTAAGACCCACAAACCCTATATCATAAAACACTAAAACAGCAAAATGATAAACCATAGAACCCTCAACCATCAAAGCCCTAAGTTGCAAGGAAGCTGAGAGCTTGAAGTTCTGGGTTGGAGCGGCGAGAGGGCTAAAGGTTCAGCGCTGGCAGAAGCCTCAGGCCTCCGTAGTTGGGGTTTAGGGTTTACTTGAAGGCTCATGGGACTTAGTAACTTTAAAGGGGTCCTTAAAGGGAGCTATAGGGGCTCCTTAAAGGGATCTATAGGGTTTAGGGTTTAGGGTACTACTTGAAGGCTCATGGGACTTAGTAACTTTAAAGGGGTCCTTAAAGGGAGCTATAGGGGCTCCTTAAAGGGATCTATAGGGTTTAGGGTTTAGGGTACTATTTGAAGGCTCATGGGACTTAGTAAGTAAGGTTATAAGTAGGTTATAATTAGGATAACCCCACTTAGGGGACTTATAACCCCAAGTATAATCGATCCTCTAAGTAAGGGTTTACGGTTTCGGGTTTGGCATTAAACCCCTAAGCTGATTCCTCACACGTTTTCTTCCGGTGGGCTGTTGGTAGGTATGTCACAGTAGAGGTGCATAGGGACCGTACGGGATACGATTGCCGGCTACTCAGAGCCCTATGTGGGCTTGGGGCCTTTTAAAACCTTCAGCGCCGCAAAGAGCAGCTTGAGCCATCAGCGGACGAAAAAGCGATGCCCTGCACGCCCTTTCGTAAACATCCCCTAAACCCTAAACCCTGAACCCTAAACTCAGATTCAGTGCTTTCACACAAGACCCCTTGGATTGAACAGGTGGTTGGTGTGTAGTCTTGGGAGATCCCAGAGCCTTAAAGCCCCAAGTTCATGATTTAGTTTAGGGTTCAGTAGTTTAGGGTTTAGGGGTTTAGGGGTTCAGGGGTTTAGGGGTTTAGGGGTTTAGAGTTTAGGGGTTTAGGGTTCAGGGTTTAGGAAGCCTGAACCCCAACTGCTAAACCCCCTAACCCCCCAAACAAAAAGCAAGTCTGAGGGACTCAACGCGAATTCCTAAAAGTCTACTCCCAACTACTATAGGGGCCGGCCTTCATCATTGCCTGCTCCTGTTTAGAACTACAGTATACTGGGCCCCCAAAACCCTATTGAAAATATTACGGCACCTACATTACCCTTCTGTATTGCCTTACAGAGGGCTTGGTAAGTGAGCTTCATAAGGTTTCGCAAGGGCCAATAGTCACTGCGGTGATCTTCAAGTCAAGATTCTACTTGCCGGCAAGTGCAGGGTTTAGGGTTTAGGGTAGCAAAAGTTTACATGCTCAGCTGTGCCACAGTCAGCAAGTAAAGATGTTTTGCTGACCTTTCGCAGCTGCATGAACCCGATGCCCATGGGAGAGGCGCGTCATCGGGGGTCCAAGACCCACAGCTTTCCGAATCTGAATCTCGGTTGCGGCTACAGTGCCTCAATGCGCTGAGAAGAACTGCTGATGGACAAAATCCTGCTGTATAAGGAATATACCATAATTCCCATAGTTTAGGGTCCTTAGGGTCATGCAGGATGTTGTCCATCAACAGAGTCATTTCTGAACAGCAAGCTCCGCCTTAAGAAACTCTGCCAGGTATGCATCCAGTGTACAACCGTCAGATTCCGAGCAATCTACACATGACCATCGGATGCCCCCAATAGTTCGGACGACAGAAGACTTCGAACGGAAACCCAACATGCTTTGGGACACCAGGCGGCTTTGCAGGAAAGGGCTTGTAACGTTGCAAGTGCCTTTCAAGTCCACGACGACGACACGAGGCGTCCAATCCCTTGCGAAAAGACTCATCTGGCCGACACTGGGAATTTCGCACTGAGCAAGCACGGACTTGCTTAGAGAACGAGGTCCTTCGATGTCCTTGTTGACGAAGGCGACAATGCCCTCCTGCCCATGCCGCACCATACCCCGTACGAAGGAAGCGCTGGCCCACGTCCAGAAATTTTGGAGTAGCTCTCGTTCATGCGCACGTTGATAGCTGCACTGGCCCAAGCCGCCATGCTTCTCGACCAGTTGACCAAGCTCTGTACCTGGATGCACAGTTTGCCTGTCCATTAGATCTGCAAACTGAAAGAGTGCCTGCTTGGTCGCTCGTCCCGAGCTTTCTCCGTCCCAAAACCCAGCCCAGAGCATGGCTTCCTTCTCGGAGTATGCCAGGGCATCCAGCCATTGTCGTTCCATCTGCAATCCAACCTGAAACTCAGGCTTGTCGCTGGCTCCAGACAGATCCCCGCCTGGGTTCTTGTCAAAGGAAATAATTTAGGATTAATTTAAGTTACCATGATGAGGAAACCATATTAGTTACTATAGATCCCTATTCTTGCAACTTAAGTTAATTTCTGTCACCCTTGAAGGAACCCTTATAGATCCGTGGGATGGGAACTTAAAGCACATTCCTTAACGAGAGCCCAGCCGCCCCATGTGAAGGGATACCAGGCCGAGGAACGCAACTGGCGTTCGCCTTGCCGAGTTCCGGCCTCCTCATGTCTCTTTCCTTACCGTTGGTTAGTAGGGAATGGAGAAATGGGGTATAATTATAACTACTATTACTACCATTCTTCCATTCCCTACTAACCAAAGGTAAGTTTCGGCACCTTCTGCAGATGTCCTCATAGAGGCCGAGAACCTGCTGGGATATTCTTGTATCCTATGGTAGATTCTAGTATATTCTGGTGTCTTATCGTATATTACAGTATATTACACTAGATCATACCCAACACCCAGAACCTGCTTGGTACACCCAGGCGTAAGCAACTCGAAGTTGGGAGGGCGTTCCCCTGGGCTGTTCATGACGTGCTCCTGGAGGTCATCAAGAATCTGATCATGGATTTCTGTGGGCCACTCTTCTGCCGACTCGAATGCCCTTAGATGTCTTCCAACGGTGGTTCTCCTGTGTGTGTGTATATATGTGGGTGGTTGTCAAAATTATGGCCCCTGTTGGGGTACCCGGTACCCTAAACAATAAGTCCCGTACAATGGGGACCCAAAAAAGGACCCTAATTTTGACAACCACCCACATGTATGTATGTGTGTGTGTGCGTTTGTGATGTGGCTTCTGGCCGTCTTCTGTTGGGGTTACTCATGTGCTTGACGCTGGAGCCTGCCTGCACCGCACATCTCTCAAGTATGGAAAGGGCCCTTGGATCCAAGCATCGTTTACCTAAACCCTAAACGCTAAACCCTCAACCCTAAACCCCTAAACCCCTAAACCCTAAACCCCTCAACCCTAAACCCTAAACCCCTAAAACCTAAACCCTAAACTCTAAACCCTAAACCCTAAACTCTAAACTCTAAACCCCTAAACCCCTAAACCCTAAACCCTGAACCCTATTCTGGCTAAGCGTCGCCCCGGGCCATGCATTCTTCACAAGGTCCAAGCCGGTCGTCCGATAAACTTTCGGAGAGCCCTGCTCAGGGTTTCGGGCTGAGGCCTCGGATTCTGGGGTTTTTACAGTAGAAGCCAGAAAGTTGGAATATCATTATCGTAACCCCTTTAATGTAAATTATAGGGGATCCTACCATGAAACCATATTCCAACTTTCTGGAGTTCCCTTTAGGGGTTTTGGTTTTGGGGGTTCAGGGTCTGGGGTTGATCCTCATATTTTGGGGGTTTGGGGTTTAGGGTTCAGGGTTTGGGGCTTTGGGTTTCGGGTCAGTCTGTAGGGTGAGGAGGTTTCAGCGCCCTTGGGTTGTAGGGTTTAGGGTTTAGGGTTTAGGGTGCCCATACATGTCTATGTTGGACTACACCTTTAGACTCTGAACCTTCAAGCGAACCCTGAGCCCTAAAGCGTGAACACCTAAACCCTCAACCCTAAACCCTAGAAGCCCTGAAACCTAAACCACCGAACCCTAAACCCCTAAACAGATTCTAGCCCGCCTCGGCAGCAGGCAGATCTGATTTGGAGCGTACAGCGACCACGGCAGGAAGGATGCAGGCCGCAAGAAATTGGAGGACACTGGCCATTGGAGGTCAGGGTTTAGGGTTTAGGTGAAGATCTAGGGTCTAGGCGCTAGGGTGTTTGGATGCTTTAGAGCAGGCAGACAACGACGACATAAGCTGTGCAGACTGAGCCCTAAGGGCTGCGGCGGAGCTACGCCCATCTGCAGCCCGTGACATGCTACATCATGGGGATCCTGGGGGGTATAGGGGGAGGGAACTACACTTCCCGAAATAGGTAGGCCTTATTAAATCCGTATTACAGGTATTTATGGCCCCCTACCCCCCCTTCCCCACTTGCCCCCTTAAGAGTCCTTAAACTACAGAATGAGGAGAATCATGGCCCTATCGACCGAAGACATGGCCAGCTCGGGTTTAGCCGTCTTTTGATGTTCATATCTTCCCGCTAAGCCCTATGCCCCAAACCCTAAAGCCTACACCCTACACACCAAAACCTAAACCCTAAACCCGGCCATCTTTCAGAGTTCAGGAGGCTTAGGGAGTTTAGGGTTCAACGGGGGTTGACTACTATAGGCTGTTATGAAGAAAATCACGAGCCTTGCTGTCGAAGTCGACAAAAACTCGATGGCCATTGGTTCTGGTAGCTTTTAGGGGCTCTTCTACTTGAAGGCTCATGGGACTTAGTAAGTAAGGTTATAAGTAGGTTATAATTAGGATAACCCCACTTAGGGGACTTATAACCCCAATTATAACCTACTTACTAAGTCCTACGATCCTCTAAGTAGACCCTAAACCCTAAACCCCATAGATCCCTTTAAGGAACCCTATAGATCCCTTTAAGGAGCCCTTTAAGGAACCTCTAAGTAGAGGCGACAGGGCCTCCTATAGGCTTTTGGTCTTAGGCGAAACTTACAAAGCTTATACGGCTTAGAGCCATCAGGACCCTAAACCCTAAACCCGTAAACCCTCAACCCATAAACCCTAAACCCCTAAACCCCTACCTAAACCCCTACCTAAACCCCTAAACCGCTAAACCCCTAAACCCTAAACCCTAAACCCCTACCTAAACCCTGTGGCTCACAGATATCGCTGCGGCCTTGTGCCCAATGCCAGGACCACGTCTGCCTTGGACATCACTTCCATGGCTGCCTGGCGTCTTGCCGGCACATGGGCGGGGGGGGATAATGGTTTAGGGTTCAGAGATTAGGGTTTGACGGTTTAGGGTTTAGGGCTTGAGGGTTTGAGGGTTTAGGTTTTAGGGATTAGGGTTTTAGGGTTTGGGGTTTGAGGGTTTAGGGTTTAGGGATCAGGGATTAAGGTTTGAGGGTTTTTAGGGTTTAGGGATTAAGGTTTAGGCATTAGGGCTTAGGACTAGGATGTTCAGGGCTTGAGGCTCAGGGTGCCAGAGCTTAGGGCTTGGAGTCTGCCGTGACGTCGCAGTGACACTAACAGGATTTGGGAGTTTCCGCCTATTTTGGGGGTCCTTATAATAAGGATCCTACTATTTAGGGTACTATAGTAGGGTCCCATATTTTCGGAAACTCCCATTTTGGGACAAGCGCTAGACCCGAAACGATCGTGCTCCCGTCCAACACGCGTGCCGGTGCCCCATATCCTAGGTATCTCGGAGTTAGGGCTTCTCAACCTTGCACCGGCACACCCTGAGGTCTTCAGCACCATTCGAGATCGTCAAAGTTGGAAACCCCTCTAGAAACAAAAAGGAAACCAACAGGACAGAAGACGGCACTGTTTTGTGCCGTTTGTTGTTGTTTTCTGTGGTTGCGGGACACACCACACATATATATATATATATATACATATACATATACATATACATATACATATACATATATACATATATACATATATACTATATACATATATCCATATATCATATATACTATATACATACATATAACATATATATATATATATATGAGAGAGAGAGAGAGAGAGAGAGAGAGAGAGAGAGAGAGAGAGAGAGAGAGAGAGAGAGAGAGAGAGAGACAGAGGAACTACATAAGGGGATACTATCACTGACTATTCAGACCTCTATATTAGGCTTCCCCTGGCCCTGGCACAGCGAACTCCAACACTCCAAACCTCTAAACCCGAAAGGTGTGCGAAAGACAAGACAGTGCATCTCTCAGCGGGCGCTCAATCGGAGGGCTTTCAAAGTTTCGGGTGTGGGGGTTCAGGGATCCCTAAACCGAAACCCTAAACCCCAAGCCCTAAACCCTAAACCGTCTAGGGGTTAGGGCTTTGGCCTGGTAGTCAAGGTCTGGGATCTACGATCTCGGGAGGGCTTAAAGGGTTTAGGGTTTGCCCCCACAAGAACTCCTGAAGCCCCTCAAGCCCAAGCCCAAGCCCGAGCGAGCTAGAGCTCCAAGGCTTAAACCGATACGCCAAAAAGTGTCAGACTTGGGAGTTTCCGAAAATTGGGGTACCCTATTTTGGGGGTCCTTATAATAAGGATCCTACTATTTAGGGTACTATATTAGGGTCCCACTTCTGCTGAGAGGGCTTAGGGATGAGGGGGCTCTTGCTAAAGCCCTAAAAGGCGTAGCTTGAACACAACTTGTTGGCTCTTTCTGGTCCGGCTCCGAAGCTAAACCCTAGAACCCGAAACCCTAATCCTAAAGCCTATACTCAGAAACCCTAAATCCTAAAACCCCCAAAGCCGAAAACACCAGAACCATACTCGAAGCATAAACCCTGACTGCTTTCAAACTCCAACACTAGAACCCTAAACATTCAAACTCATGCTCTAAATCCTGCAACCCTACTATGCCCTAAACTCTTTCCAAAGCCCAGCAGTGCCCAGCTGCGACCCTAAACCCTAAACCATATGCCCTAAACCCTAAACCCTAAACCCTAAACCATATGCCCTAAACCCTAAACCCTAAACCCTAAACCATATGCCCTAAACCCTAAACCCTAAACCCTAAACCATATGCCATAAACCCTAAACCCTAAACCATATGCCATAAACCCTTTCAAAAAGCCAAGCAGTGCCCACCTTCGATCCGTTGTAGCCCAAAGGTCCCACGTGCAGAGGATGGTCGCCTGCAGGGTTCAGGCTCTGGGGTTTAGGGTTTAGGGTTTTAGGGTTTAGGGTCTTAGGGTTTAGGGTTTTATGGTTTTAGGGTTTAGGGGTTTTAGGGTTTTAGGGTTTACTTTAGAAGGGGCCCACCCTGTAATAGTGGTATAATAGGAATATACTAGGGCCCTAAATATAATCCTTATAGTCACTATTACAGGGTGAGGGCAGCTTCTATCCTTTACTCATTTAGGGAACCTCTACGGGCTCCTTTAAAGGTCTCTAGGGTTTAAGGTTAGTCATTTAGGGAACTTTTACGGGTTCCTTTAAAGGTCTCTAGGGTTTAGGGTCTGGTAGAGTTTAGGGTCTAAGGGTTTTAGGGTTTGGGGTCCAGGGCTGAAGTTTTACGTGTTGTCTAGGGTTTAGGGCTTAGAGCTTGGGGCTTGGGGCTTAGGGTTGAAGGGTTGAGGGTCTTGGCTTAGGGGGAGGGGGGAGTGGAGAGTGCAAGGTCTGGGGATCTGCTGTTTCGCATTTAGTGTTCGGGGCTCAGGGCTCAGATTTAGTCCTCTTTTTGGAAGGGGGGGGTGGAGGTTCACGGGTTCAGAATGGTTTAGATCTTAAGGTTTAAGGGCTCAGTGTAAACCCTAAACCTTGAACCCTGAAGCCTAAAGCCCTTTCGGGAGTTTGAAGCTGCATGGAGACTCTAAACCCTACTTGAAGGCTCACGGGACTTAGTAAGTAAGCTTATAAGTAGGCTATAATTAGGATAACCCCACTCAGGGGACTTATAACCCCAAGTATAACCTACTTACTAAGTCCCATGATCCTCTAGACTCTAAGTAAACCCTGAGACATTCGCGCCTGAGGCCTGGGTTTCAAGATGCAGGGCTGGGACTGAAAGAGCCCGAAAATACCTCAACACGCTGAGTCAGGGTTTAGGGTTTGGGTTTAGGACCTGTAGAGGAACTTAGTTTCGGCTACCCTCAAAGTGTCTGCAGTGAACCTGGTGCCCTACTTAGCCACTACTTGTGGTAGCTTAAACTAAGACCCACAATAAGAATAAAAACCCTCAGACCGCGTCGAAACCCCTGTTCAACCCCCTGGACACTCTACAAAAGGAACTCAAAACCGGAACACGAAAGTCCATAAACCACTCAGGCAAAAGCAGAAAAACGCCGACAAGGCTCAAGGAAGAATGGTTTATAGAAAATCATGCTGCTAGCGATAGTCATATTGGTACTGAAGACACTATTTTTAAAAAACATAGTATTGAGAATGTTAAACGTAATAGTACTGGTAGCTACTGTTAAACGTTGTACCTACCGTAAACAAAGGCAAAAGTAAAATACTGGACAAAATAGGTGTTACAAATATAGCAGCACCAATCAAAATGGTGATCGTAATCATAGTCATTCTCGCGCACGTTGCCCTCGTTTCGATCACGCTGTCCTAAACCCTATAAGCCCGACCCTGCTAGGGTTAGCGGTGTAGGGGTCGAGGGTTTGGGTTTAGGGGTTAAGGGTTTAGAGGTTTAGGGTTTAGGTTTCGGGTTTAAGGGTTTCAAGTGTAGGTATTAGGGTTTAGGTTGAGTAGCAAAAAGAAGATTGATGCCAATGGTACTACAACTGGCGACGAGCAGAAGTTCAATCATCGGAAGTGGAGGAGTCATTTTCTTCTTCGCTTATGTGGCACCACAGAGACATCCGCCGTTTCTCTCACGACTTGTACTACTCGACCATAGAGCCCGAAATCCCGAAACCCGACCACCTACAACCCAAGGACCAAATCCTACACCATCAAACCCTGAAGCCGAAAGCCCCTAAGCCCACAGAGCCGTGAAAGAGCACCCTAAAACCACGAAACAAGAAGACTCTGACCCTAAACCCTAAACCCTCAAACCCTAAACCCTAAACCCTAAGCCCCAAGCTCTAAGCCCTAAACCCTAAACCCTAAACCCTAAACCCCTAAACCCTAAAACCCTAAACCACAAATGAGAGCCGTGGAGCCTGGGAAGGCGTCATTGTGCCTGGGCGGCGGCTCGTTTGGCTTTAGTCTTCCTTGCTTCGGCACATGAGGGTTTAGAGTTTGGTTTAGGGGTTTAGGGTTTTAGGGTTTAGGGTTTAGGGTTTAGGGGTTTAGGGGTTTAGGGTTTAGGGGTTTAGGGTTTAGAGTTTTAGGGTTTAGGGGTTAGAGTTTAGGGTTTCAGGGGGTTGTAGATGCTCTCGGATCTAGCCTGCTGAGGTTTATGCCTTCCCGGTTGCGGGTGTAGGGCTCAGGCCGTAGAGGTGTTAAGCTTTGAGGGCTCAAGGGCATAGGGCTTGGGGCGTAAGGCTTCAGGGCCTTAGGGAGTAAGGCTTTGGGGCAGTCGTGCCTTGGGGTTCAGGGGGTGCAGGCATTGGGAGCTCTGGGGTTGAGGGCTCTGCGACTATGATACTACATATGGCCCAGGCACATGTACTATATACCATGATGCACACTTAGTATAATATACATATATATATATGACACTTTTATATATATATATATCACACTTAATGTGTGTGTATATATATATATATTTGGTACTACAACATGTGGCCCAGGGCACTGGTAGTTGCAGCAGACCGGTGCAGAGAGGCGCTCCGCGAGTTTCACGGAAGTCTCCTTAGCCGGACTCGGGGGCTTCGTGGGAATTTAAGTTATGGCTTCGGGTTTAGGGTTTAGGGTTTAAGGTTAGGGTTTAGGGTTTAGGGTTTAAGGTTAGGGTTTAGGGTTTTTAGGGTTTAAGGTTTAGGGTTTAGGGTTTTTAGGGTTTAAGGTTTAGGGTTTAGGGTTGAGGGTTTAGGGTTCAGGCTCTAGTGGACCTGTAGAGGAACTCTGAAAAAAAAACCTTAGAGCCTTAGAGGATCCTTGAGACACCCTTTTAAGTCAAAACCCTAAACCCATAAAGGAGTCGTTAAGGGTTCTACGAGGGTTCACAGTGTTGAGGCCTTTGGGGCTCGCTTAAAGGGCTTCCTTAAGGCATCGACAAGCGTTTAAGAAGCAGCATTGGGAGAGTTGTTACAAGGGTTCCTGTAAGAGTTCATGAAAGGCTCCTTTAAAGGTTTCTATACGGGTTCCTTGAAAGACTCCTTGAAGCGGTTCTTGACGGCTCCTTGAAGGTTCCTTCCCTTAAGGTAGAAGGGTTGAAGGCCGGGCTTCAAGGTTTTATATACGGGAGTTTCCGAAAATTTGGGGTACCTTATTTTGGGGCCCTTATAATAAGGATCCTACTGTTCGGGGTACTATATTAAGGTCCCTTGCTTTCGGAAACTCCCATACGGTTCTCTCAGGTTCCAGAAGGGTTCTGTAAGGGTGGTGGGTGTTTAGGGCTAGGGCGCCGGGTTATGGCTCAGTTTCAGGATTTCAGGGTCTTGGTGTTTAGGGTTTAGGGTGTCGAAGATTATAGGATGAAAGGTATCGGGCTTCAAGGTGAAGGTCTACAGGATTGAAATAGGGGTCTCAATAATTTGAACAGGGTGTTTTAGTGTATACTATAATCAAAAAATATATCGACTAAGGCCAGGGAATTCCCTATTTATTCCAACTCGTAAACCCTTAACACCGGATCCAAAAATCAAAACCTTAAAGCCTAAACCCCCGAACCCCCAAGCCCCAAACCCTAAGCCCCTGAACCCCACACCCCTAAACCCGAAACCCCAAACCCGAAACCCTAAACCCTTACTAAATGTCGGGCCCTAAGTTTTCCATCCCAAACGAGCTGCCACAGCTCCCGACAGGATCGTTCCGGCGCCATTCAGGATCACCGGGAATTTGGCCTGCACAGCCGTTCAAACTTTTATGGCTCAGGGTCTATAGGGCTTTGGGGCTTCAGGATTTAGAGTTTAGGGTTGACTCAAAAAGGCCCTACAAGAAACTCTCATCATGCGTAAAGTTTACGCATGATGAGAGTTTCTTGTAGGGCCTTCTTGGGTCTGCACAAGGCCTTCCCAGGGCATTAGGGCTTTGGGCTTGCCTATATGTCGGGCTCCAGGCTTTGAGCCCCAATTAAAAGCTTGGTGTGTGGCTGTTGGAAACATATGCCGCAAGCAAAAAACCATATAAGATCAAGGTTACATTGATGGTGCAATTGACAACGAAGGCAAAATTCAAAGCCCAAAGCCCCTGATGAAAGCCTCAAAAACCCTAAACCCTAAACGAAAGCCCTAAGCCCCCAACTCCAAATCCTAAACTTAAGATTCCTAACCTTGAACCCAAACTCAACCGCAAAACCAGGCCTCAATGGCCAAGATAAATCATCAGAAAAGAGTTCCGGGATATACTGCACTACTTATGACCATAACAAGGACCTCCCTCGAAAAGTTTTGGCAAATATTCAAGCCCCCAAACCCTAAAAACCCTTCTCAGCCCTAAACCCGAAACACCTCCCAGCCCTGAACCCTTCTCAGCCCTAAACCCTAAACCCCTCTCGGCCCCAAACCCCAAACCCTACACCTACTAAGCCCTAAACCTACTAACTCTAAATCTACCAACCCTAAATCTACTAAACCCCAAACCCACTAAACCCGCAAACCTACTAAACCCTCAACTCTTCTCCGCCCTGCCCTCTCTGGCCTTTGCCAGCCCCGAATTAGGGTACCTGTCACCCCCCAATCAGGGTCTTATAACCTTACTTACTAAGTCCCCTAATTCTCCAAGCGCCCTCACTGGCCTCTGCCAGCATCTCAGCAGCCGCCTTGGTGGAGTGCGCACCGCCTGCAGATCGCTCCTCAGGCGCTTAAGCTCGGAGGATCAGGGGAGCTTTTCGGGCTTTAGGGGTTTTGGGGGGCTTTAGGGCCCTCTTTAAGGGTTTCTGTAAGGGTTCTAAAGAGGTTTGTAGGGTTTTAGGTGTTTTCGGGGTTTTAAGGCTCTCGTAAGGCTTCGTTAAGGGTTTCTGTAAGGGTTCTACAAGGGGGGACTCTCGCAAGGCTTCTTTTTAAGGCTTCTGTAAAGGGTTCTCCGGGCTCCAGAAGAAGGTTTCGGGAAATAGGTCAGGCTCTAAGTACCCGAATTGAATTATAAGCAATTGTAAGTATAGCTACGACCTTAATTGGGGTTATAAGTTATTCTAAGTATAGCTACTACCTTATAAATCACCCTACTTACTAAGCCCCTGGATCCTTTGAGTAGGGTCCAGGCTGTTGGGGTGAAGTGGAGGAGTCAAGGCTCCAGGTTGCAGGATTGGAGGGTTTCGGGGTACTTAAAGGATCATGGGACTTAGTAAGTAGGTTATAATTGGGGTTATAAGTCCCCTCAGTGGGGTTATCCTAATTATAACCTACTTATAACCTTACTTACTAAGTCCCATGAGCCTTCAAGTAGGGTTTGCGGTTTTGGGGTCCCAGGCCTTCGGGGATTAGGGCAGTTTAGGTTAGGGTTTCTGGTTTAGGGTCTGGGAGTTAGGGCTTAAAGCTTAAAGTCTGGGAGTTAGGCTTCAAGGCTTAGATTTTCGGCTTTAGATCTGGGGTTTGGGCCTTTTCTTGTTGAACGCCCTTTGTCCAAAAGGCAGAGTCCAGAATCCCTGCTGGGAACACGGCTTTTGGAACCCTCTATATACGATGTTAAGCTTAGAGTTTAGCCGTTGAGTCGTTTGGCACTAAGCCCTAAAGCTTATGAACCAAAGAAAAGAACTCAACAGTATACGGGCGCGACTCAAGCATCCCGCAGCCCAAACACTTTGAGCTTTCATGTGGGGCTTGCCGAGACCTTTTTGCGGGGCCCTGCATAGTGGCCTGCAATATCAGTATCTGACTGTTTAGCATGGGCTTTCAAGGAATAAGAACCCGAACCACTGGACATTTAGAGAAGAGCAGTTTCCAGGCAGATGAAACCATAGTTTGACAGGGATTGGAGGAAAGAAACCATCCTATTCTTGGAGACTCTATGTTAGGACCGGTGCAACACCACGGTGTAACTTTCTTCGGTTCGGGGTAAAGCTCCCCGGTACCGAAGTTGATGACATCCTGAATCGAGTAAACCTCTTCAGCATTTACCCAAAAGTCCACGCCCAAAAGCACCGAAGATTGAACTCCGAAGTGGAATGAGAGTCTCAAGGTTTAGCACGGGTTCGGGTTCAGGAATTCCGGTAGAACTTTGTATGCAGGGACAGTCATTATTCGGACTCCAGAAAAACCTTCTTATCCTCAACAGCAAGATCTGAATCTCTGAGAATCGTCTCCCTGCAAGCAAGGAGCCAGCTTCACCCCCGTGGGGAGGGACATGTCCACCACCTGATTTTCAAGTTTATGGGTGCAGGCTGTCAGCACGCCCCAAGTGGAAGTTAGACATATAAACTCAGCGCTTCATGATTTCGGATTCCGGTTCTGCGGTGAAGAAGCCGGCCAACACTCAAAGCTTTAAACCTTGCGTATTTGGGATTGCTATGCCATCGGCTGGGAGGGCCGTGGCAGGAGCTGTCACACCTTCGGACTTTGACAGCAGAAATCACCCCAAAACCCACAATTTAGACACGAATTAACCAACCCTCAATCCGAGACCATTACCCTTACCTTTGGTTAGTAGGGAATGGAAGAATGGTAGCAATAGTAGTATAATTGTACCCCATTCCTCCATTTCCTACTAACCAAAGCTAAGTACCGGGTAGTTGGGTTCGGCCGTTCGATTGCCGGCCTGTGTCCAGAAATCTCGAGGGATGTTGATCTGCGCCGGGGCAGAGCAGTGGTAGGCCTCGTGCGCAAGGTATAGCTCCGGAATCCGGCAATGTAGTGCATGGCTGCTCAAACAAACAACACTGCGAATACGCTCGTGGGGATATAGACAGATTCTTCGAAGAGTGCTTAACAATGCGTTTTGGGTGCGCTGTGGTAAAAGCCAGTCGGTGGAACTTTTGCCCGTTTACCACCATCCCACCGATTCATCCACCATGTTGTAGTCCACCCTGCATGTCCCCCAACCATCACCACTACTTCCCAAGTACCACTACCAACATGCGCCGTTTACCCCATCCATAATCCCAGAGATGGCACTACAACCCCGAAATGGGCACTTAGCAAACGAGTTGAGTTCATGTAATGTTTCAGGTCTCGTGTACTTCAAATTGTCAAATGTTGCGATCTGCTAAAACCATTTTTCAATATACCGGCCTACATTCCTCCCTTACTGCTTTCGCAACAGAAATGCTCTTTGCCGCTTTATGGCTACCCGTTGTGGTTCGAAAGATACATAACCGCTGTAAAACCAACAACCATGGTCATCTTACCAGCAGAGACTGTCCGTTATATGGACATATGTTTCGAAACCCCGTTGATCTTAGATCTTTGCGATTCATTTAAGAAGGCAGTTCCACAGCTTTATGTTGCGTGTATGAATTCAAAGGAGAGGAACGACCCGGCGGACAATTTCTGCATATGAAGTGTTTGTCAAAAAACAATGTCAAAACTAATTAACGGGTGAAGCTGTTCCTACAGTGGACCCAGAAGACATGCCACAAAACACGTATCAAACCACGAAACATAATATGATGCACAATCATCCTGCAAGAATGTCTGAATATCCATTTACTGTGTTTCTGTGGTCAGCTTCATGACCCATTTCATGCATGGCTGGTGTTTATTTGCAAACTATGTCACAGAAATCTAATGAGCCTGCACGGGAATGTCGATACAATCGGGAAGGCTACACGGCTACATTACAGGCCTTCATGAGACACAAGAACCGACGGAACTTGACCAACCGGTGGTACAAATATCCAAAATGGACAAGGGTTCTGCAAATTTGTCGTCGACTATGCTTCTACGTCGAACTAATCTGAGAAATTCGACAAAACACTGTCGCCAAAAGTGAGCGGATCTTATGCAGCATGTCCCATATAGAAACCTGCATGAAGAGCCGTTCGAAGGATGCCTAAAACCTCAACCCAGAAAGTCTAAACCTTCCACCCTCAAACCCCAAGCGATCGAAAGTCTCAAACCTACTACTTGAAGCTGAAACCCCATGAACCCTAAAACCCAAAACCATGAAAGTCTGAACCCCAAACCCGAGTCCGGAGCTTGCAGGGATGTAATTACTCTGCTTTGCTTCTTCTAGACCCCCGAAGCTGCCACCTAGGGGTGTATAGAGTTTTGGAGACTGACGACTCGGGCCATTGTTCATTGCCGCCCTTTTGCGCCGAACCCTAAATCGTGAAGACCCGTATGCTAGCCCCTTCTGCGAATCGAATTATGTCAGGTTAGCAGTTCAGGGTTTAGGGTTTGGGTTTTCGAGGTTGGGGTGCGGCGTTTACAGTTTACGGCTTCAGACGGGGCCCGGGGGTTCCCTTACTAAACCCTAAACCCTAAACCCCAACCCCTAAACCCTAAACCCTAAACCCTCCGCCTTCTCGATGACCCGGTTTAGGACTTCACAGATGCGCGTCGGATCGCGGACCTGCCGTCTGAAACTAGCCCAGGAACCCAGAATCCTCCTTGTGATGGCTCAAGGTGTGCGGCTTATGGAGTTTATGGAGTGCATTAGGGTGATGATTATGGTAATTGGATAGAGTTCTTCGGCTTGTCCGAGCAGGCTTAGCAGGGGCAGGAACTCTTCAAAAGCTCTTTCGACAGACCAACAGACGTACCTTTGCTGCGCGATTCGCTCTTCGAAAGGCTGATGGGCTCCAGATGAACAATCGCAGACACAGCAAAGCTACGGTTTGACGAGCTTACAGTCGAAGCCTTCCGGCCTGGCATTTGGGAGTTTCCGAAGTTAGGGGTACCTTGTTTGGGGGTCCTGATAATAAGGATCCTACTATTTAGGGTACTATATAAGGGTCCCCTATTTTCGGAGAATCCCATTTGTCATTTTGAGTTCCTGGCTCCTTGTTTGGCTGCTGGGTGGTAGTGCGGGCTGCGGGTCCCTTTGGGCTTCGGGGGTTCAGGCTGAACCTACTCGTCCAGTATCCTTAGGAACCACAGGATAACCTTACGGAGTATGTTGGGAATATATAGGGATTATAGTACCCCAGAGAAGGTTGAAGGTTACCCACTCTACTACTAGATTTACTAGATGAAGGGATAAGCATTGGGGTTCCAGGTTTCTTCCGGGTTCAGAGACAACGTCCCTTAGCCGTCGGCACATCTTGGCGCCCTAAACTCTGCGAATTACACCAGCAAGCCCTAAACCCTTCCGACACGGAGCCTTCGTGACACACTTCTAAGCATGATAAAGGCCTGCGTCCCGAATATCTGGGAAGCAACAACTCCCAACGTGTTTGACGTCTGCCCCTCTCTAGCCCGAAACGTCAACCGCTTTTCTCGGCTCCATGGACCCGACACCTAAAACCTTGAGCCCAAAACCGCAGCTTACACTCAGCACCCAAACCCTAAACCCCTGAACCCTAAACCCTAAACCCTAAACCCTAAACCCTAAACCCCTGAACCCTAAACCCTAAACCCTAAACCCTAAACCCTAAACCCCTGAACCCTAAACCTCTCTACCTATAGTAATTTAAACCTTAATGGCTTCGTGGCGATTGACGTTTTCAGCTGATCAACTTGATCAATCTTCGTGGCGACTTCATCAATCTTCGTGGCGACTTCATCAATCTTCGTGGCGCTAAACCGTTCGCCCAGGATTTAGGGCGGCCCTAAACCGTTCGCCCAAGATTTAGGGCGGCCTTAAACCGTTCGCCCAAGATTTAGGGCGGTCACTTCATCAATCTTCGTGGCGACTTCATCAATCTTCGTGGCGACTTCATCAATCTTCGTGGCGACTTCATCAATCTTCGTGGCGACTTCATCAATCTTCGTGGCGACTTCATCAATCTTCGTGGCGACTTCATCAATCTTCGTGGCGCTAAACCGTTCGCCCAAGAATTAGGGCGGCCCTAAACCGTTCGCCCAAGATTTAGGGCAGCCCTAAACCGTTCGCCCAAGATTTAGGGTGGTCACTTCATCAATCTTCGTGGCGACTTCATCAATCTTCGTGGCGACTTCATCAATCTCGTGGCGACTTCATCAATCTTCGTGGCGACTTCATCAATCTTCGTGGCGACTTCATCAATCTCGTGGCGACTTCATCAATCTTCGTGGCGCTAAACCGTTCGCCCAAGATTTAGGGCTAAACCGTTCGCCCAAGATTTAGGGCCTAGGGTTTAGGCCCTAGGGTTTAGGGTAGGGTTTAGGCCCCAGGGTTTAGGGCCTAGGGTTTAAGCCCTAGTGTGTAATCTTCGTGGTCTAAACCGTTCGTCCAAGATTTAGGGCTAAACCGTTCGCCCAAGATTTAGGGCTAAACCGTTCGCCCAAGATTTAGGGCTAAACCGTTCGCCCAAGATTTAGGGCTAAACCGTTCGCCCAAGATTTAGGGGATTTAGGGCCTAAACCCTTGGCCCGAGATTTAGGGCCTAAACCCTTGGCCCGAGATTTAGGGCCTAAACCCTTGGCCCGAGATTTAGGGCCTAAACCCTTGGCCCGAGATTTAGGGCCTAAACCCTTGGCCCGAGATTTAGGGCCTAAACCCTTGGCCCGAGATTTAGGGCCTAAACCCTTGGCCCGAGATTTAGGGCCTAAACCCTTGGCCCGAGATTTAGGGCCTAAACCCTTGGCCCAGGCCAATCAATTCTGCAAGAGATTTTCCTTCCTAACGCCCCAATAAGCGAAACAATTCTGCAAGAGGTCTTCCTAACGCCCCAATAAGCGAAACAATTCTGCAAGAGGTTTTCCTTCCTAACGCCCCAATAAGCGAAACAATTCTACAAGAGGTTTTCCTTCCTAACGCCCCAATAAGCGAAACAATTCTGCAAGAGTTTTTCAATCTTAAAGCTCCAATAAGCGAAGAACAAGACGAGGATAGCAAGGAATATAAAGACTCATTAATTAACGAAGTTTCCTGCAGCATGGTTTGATGTTTTCCTTTTTGTTTTTGTAGTATCTTGCGGCCATGTGTGCTATGATTCTATAAGCTAGAAAGAAGTTGTGTCCATTGTTAACAAAAAAAACATCTGCACAAAGGCGAGATAGTATGCAAAATAAAAAGTATTATTAAAAGAAGTTCCTAAGAAGAATCGTGTTCTATCCGAGCATATAATAAAGATTGTTATTTCATAATGTGAGGGGAACCTTTGGGCGGGTGGGGTTTTGACTTGAAATAGCTTGACTCGAAATTTCCAAAGTCAGAGAAGCTGAACCCTAAACCCTAAACCCTAAACCCTAAACCCCTGAACCCTAAACAAAGACCGCCGCTTTCCCCAGCTAGCGCTGGCGGCGGTCGCTACCGCGTCCCCACTGGTGGGCGCGGTGCGTCCACGCGATGGGCTTCAGCCCTAGTGGACGCCGACTTGGATCCGTCCGGTGAGGACGGTCGACGCTTAGAGCTAAGTGAACCTGCGTGCAGGCGACAGTCCTGCAGTGTTAAACTGATTACCCTAAACCCCACGATTTGGAGTAACATCCTAGGATTTAGGATTTAGGATTTAGGATTTAGGATTTAGGATTTAGGATTTAGGATTTAGGATTTAGGGTTTAGGATTTAGGATTTAGGGTTTAGGATTTAGGGTTTAGGATTTAGGATTTAGGATTTAGGATTTAGGGTTTAGGATTTAGGGTTTAGGATTTAGGATTTAGGATTTAGGGTTTAGGATTTAGGATTTAGGATTTAGGATTTAGGATTTAGGATCCGCCTGTCCCGGGCTGCCCCGGGACAGGTCACGGAGCCTCCTGGTTCACCCTGGTTCACCCTGCTTCACCCTGGTTCACCCAGGTTCATTTTTAGCCTGGTTCGCTCACCCTCTGGCTCACCTGGTTCACCCTGGTTCACACCCTGGCTCACCCTCTGGCTCACCTGGTTCATCCTGGTTCACCCTGGTTCACACCCTGCCTCACCGTCTGGCTCACCTAGTTCAGTCTGGTTATTCTGGTTCACCCTGGTTCACCTGGTTCACCCTGGTTCACCCTGGTTCACACCCTGGCTCACCCTCTGGCTCACCTGGCTCACCCTGGTTCACCCTGGTTCACCCTGGTTCACCCTGGCTCACCCTGGCTCACCCTGGCTCATGCAAGGCCTGAAAAGCCCCTGCTTGCGAAGGCTTTAGGAGGCCGCTGGGTGCGAGGTTCTGGGAGGCTTCTGGGAGGTTCCTGGGAGGTCCTCGGGGAGGTTCCTGGGAGGGAGGCCCCTTGAGCCACCTTGGTAGAAGTTGAGTCGTAAAGATATTCTTTTCTTCTGTAACCAAAGCCACCTTGGTAGAAATTTGGTCATAAAGCCTGATGTTCATTTCCTTTGCAGGTGCAATACCCAAAGCTACCTTGGAGGAAGTTGAGTCATAAAGCCTGATTTTCAGTTGCTTTGCCGGTGCAATAACCAAAGGGAGGCATCGCGTCAGATTCGTTCTGGCCTTGAAGGCCCCTGGGAGGCCCCTGGAGGTCCCTGCGAGCCACCTTGTTAGAAGTTGAATCATAAAGATATTCATTTCTTCCGTAACCAAAGCCAGCTTGGTAGAAATTGGGTCATAAAGCCTGATGTTCATTTCTTTTGCCGGTGCAATACCCAAGGATTTAGGATTTAGGGTTCAAAACTTAGATTTAGAAGAAGGAGCGGGTACTGCGGGGGGCTGCGCGTGCGAACCGAGACCGGGCACACCCGACGATTTGGAGTAACATCCTAGGATTTAGGATTTAGGGTTTAGGGTTCAAAACTTGGGTTTGAAATCTAGAATATAACTCAATCCAATAAAAACCCTAAACCCGACACGGTTGAGATGTGGGTGGGCGGGTCGGGCGAGAGCGTTGCACACTTGCGCGCACCACAACACACGCCTGCGTGGTGGTGCGCGCGGAACGTTTAGCAAACCCTAAACCCTAAACCCTAAACCCCTGAACCCTAAACCCTAAACCCTAAACCCTAAACCCTAAACCCTAAACCCTAAACCCTAAACCCCTGAACCCTAAACCCTAAACCCTAAACCCTAAACCCTAAACCCCTGAACCCTAAACCCTAAACCCTAAACCCTAAACCCTAAACCCTAAACCCCTGAACCCTAAACCCTAAACCCTAAACCCTAAACCCTAAACCCCTGAACCCTAAACTCTAAAACCCGAGCCCCGAACCCTAGGGCCTGAACCCGAAGCTCTCTCGGCCCTAAACTCAGCATACCTCAGTCGCGCCTCCTCCTGGTAGCAGACGGTGTCCTTGAACATAGCCATCCTCATCGCAAGCTGCAATATCGTATAGAATCCTTGTAGTACAGAACCCTTATAGAAGCGTAAAGAGCACCTAGAGAATCGGAAAGAACCCCTGTAGAACCAAGGCAGGTCTCCGGGACTTACAGTTTCTCCCTCAGGGTTTGGAACCGCAAAACGGCCCATCCGAAACCAGGTCCTGGATTGCAACCTGTGCATGAGCAGATGTGTGTATGTAAACCATACATGTTTGTACGCACACATGTATATGTGTATGTATGTACGTATGTATGTATGCAAGTATGCAAGCATGTCTGTATGAATGTAGGTACATACTTATGTGCGCATACATATATATATATATATATATATATATATACAGAGAGAGACTGAAAGAGCGCTCGTTCATTCACATGGCTGCAAAACGTGTTCATGTCCTGGCGTGACGTTAGCACACGTGGGTTCAAATAGTCTGCATCTGCAAACATAGTCCCTTCAGCATTAGTTACACACCAAATCACTGTCTAAAGAAGATGTGCATGACAAATCCTGAAGTGCCAAGGCCCTCAATAGCGGGGCCTGAATAATTACCACTGCTAAACCCTACACGGGTGGTTGTCAAAATTATGGTCCCTTCTTGTGTCCCGAATATAATGCGGCACCTATTATTTAGGGTACCCAAAAAAGGACCCTAATTTTGACAACTACCCACATCCCAAAAGCCCGACAGACCAGCGACCTGAAACACAGCCAAGAGACTGCTCCACTTCCTGGAACCCGCCTTGGCCAATGGTCTTATTGGCGGCCTGCAACGGTTTAGGGTTCTAACGTCTCGCAGTTATGGGTTTTTCTTGTCAGGGTTTGACTTAGTTTTGTCAACTTGTTGTGTTAAGGTCCAGGTTGTTGCTTTAGAAAGCCAAGGTTATGGTTGAGGGTATTAGGTTTCAGACGCTAAACCCTCTACACCCTTTAAACCCCACCCTAGACCCCAACAATCCAAACTAGTTTATTGAGGGCAGGGCTGTAGAGGTTGGAGTTGTCACGGCCTGGATTTGTCAAGCGAACGGCGATCGAGCAAAACAGCTTAGGGTTTTGGTTTGTGATTTGGGAGGGTAGGGTCTGTTCGCGGTGCCGGTGTACTGCGTTAGCTGTCGACGAGGTCGACCGAAATCCTGCAAGGGACACACCTGTCCTAGAGACCAGCACTGCGCGGAATCCGTAATCCCCCAAACCCCGAAACCCTGACCCCAAAACCATTTTCCGAAGCCCGGTTCGGGGTCGCTTGAAGTTTTCGGTTCTGTGGACGATACGAGCTTTATAGGCTATAGGGCAAGGACTTTGTAGAGGCTTGATAAGGGTTGTAAACGGGTTGCTATAGAGCTTTCAATGTTTCATAAGAGTTTAAAATGCTTCGCACAGGGTTTTGTAGTGGGCCACAATGCCAAACCAGAGCCAATCAAACGTCTGCAAGCCAATCCAATCCCGTCCAAGCGACCTACCGCTAAATCATTCTTAAAGGCTCATGGGACTTAGTAACCAGGGTTATAAATAAGGTAACTATCCTTACAATTACCTATAACCCCAATTAAAGGACTTATAACCTTACTTACTAAGTCCCATGATCCACTAAGTTCCACAACCCGCAACCCAGACCTGGCACCACAGCCTCACGTCCCAAGCCCTGATTGGGTGTGTTTCCTTCAGATTAGACGTGCCGTGTTTCGAGGTGCCTAATAAAGGCGAGTAGAGGTCCTAGTGTTCGAGTGTATGTGAGGCATCCCCTACTTCGTGAAACTCCCCAATGTCGGAACCACATGGCCTCATAACTCCAACATGCAGACCTAAGGTTTCTTCATGTAGGAACCTGATGAAGCAAGCCTGGCCCCATAATCCCAAAATAACGACTTATAGTCGACCTTATAGAAACCCCGTTTAAAGGAAAACTATGAAACCCTGTTCTAATTATTGAGGCCCCTGAATCAGGTTCCCAAACTAGCTTTGACTTCAGCCTCTACCACCCAGTGTCAAGCCTGTGGGGTCACCAGCAAAAGTGGAGTGTGGTTCCAGTAGGCCGTCTTCACAGGCCTCTGATTATCGGCTTTAGTAAGGGAGGGTTTAGGGCTCCGACTCAAAACTGACGTTTTGGGTTTAGGCGGGGGTAGTAGAGTTTCAGGGCTTGGGGGCTTAGGGCTTTAGGGCTTTTGGGGGTTCTGGGTTTGGAGCTCAAAGCTGCTCTCCGTTGGCCGCGCACATCTAGGCCCAACCCCGAACCTTTTTGGCTCAAAGCTTCGGCCAAGCTTTGGGGGATCGGACCGAGCATGGCCATGATCATGTTTAGAGTATAGGGTCTTTAGGGCACATCATAGCATATTTATACAACGGAACCTTGAGGAATGATGTTGGCCAGCACTCAGGCCCCCTGCAATACACTCAGAGTCATATGTAGCTGCTTCGCTGCGGGTTGGGAGATGACCCTTGCACCTAAACCTTAAAACCTAGACCCTAAACCGCTAAACCCTGAAACCTGTACGACTCTGCGAGGACTTTTTGCTATGCCGAGAGGACAGACTCTATCAGGATTTAGTACAGGGGCCTTAAGAATTACCTAGAGTTCCCTTTACAGGGATCCTTGATGGGGTCTTTAAGGGATCTATAATAGGGTTCTATACTATGAGGGCCATTATAAAGATTTAGTATAGGCTATACTACATCCTTAATGGCCCTCATAGTAGCCCGTATACGCCCCTTTAACGCAACCGTACTCTAACTACGGTAATACTTAATGCTTAGTATGGGGCATACCTAATTACCTATACTATTTCTGGTGGCTCTTTATTACGGTTATGGTATGCCCCGAAACCCTATTCTAATTATTAAGGCACTACATTAAAGACGTTGCAGATTTGAAGGTGTCCTTAGAGCCAAGGCTGTCAGTGTAGGGGCCTTCTTTTTCTTTCGGGCAGGCTGAAGGCCCGAAGGACGTGCCTAAAGCATCTGTACAGATATGAATTCAACAGTGAAACAGTCACTTCCGGCCCTTCTTCTTCGGGGCAGGTTTGGGCGGCGGCTTGGAAACGACAGTGAAAGCCTGCGCTTTCGCAGCGCCGGCGCGGTCCTTTCCCACGCGAACTTTGAGAACAGAACCCTTGTCAAAGGGAGTGTCGTCCATGCACCTCTCAGCGGGAATAACCAATTCAGTGCTTTCCAAAAGATCCTGGCTCGTTTGTTCTTCACTTTCTTGGACAAAGGCCTTTATCATCTGACGCCCTTCTTTGGAATTGAACACGCCAAAGACAACGCAACGTAGCACCTCTGGCTTTGAACCTGCATCTTCTGCTGCGGTTGAAAAGCCAACGCTGACTTCTTCCGCAACATCAACAGGAAGATCCTGAACTTGCCCTTGGTCAAGCGGAACCGGTTCTGACGCAGGAGGAGCTGGTGCAATACTTGGACATCCTTGCTCCAAATCAAAATCAGCCAGGGGAATGCAAGCAACGCAATCCGGAGGAACAGTTTGTCGAGTCAGAACAACGCCAGCTACATTCTCGACGAGAAAGATTCCTGCAGCGCCGAGCTTTGCGCAATCAACCTGATAAACAGCATCCATGTCGCTCTTCGGCAACTGCATGTTTGGGCCTGGCTTCAGAAAATGCAAATGTAGCCTTCCAGACCCATTCCCTCCCGGAATTAGCCCATTCTGTTTTATGGCCTCAAGATTGCGCAAGTATCCAAAATGAAGGACCGAACCAATCCCCGGAACGGGCCACGTTGTTTTGGAATCATCCGGATTGACAACCGTATGGCCCGCCAAAGCCCTAATGCGCACCTCATCATCATCGAATGCAAAGCGTGCCTTCATGGCAGTGCTTGAAACAACCTGCGCTATCTCACTTGCTGTGTACTTCATGTGTTTGGCATGCGGAAGCTTCAGGAGATCATCAACAACGACCGCGCCAGTCTCATCGTACTCCAAATCCAGACCCGTGCCATGTCGCAGACAGAAAGTGAGGAACTTTGAAAGATCGACAAGCCTGTCAGGAGCAACGTCAGAGCTTGAACCCTCATCTTCTTTCTTGGCGCCTTCTTGCTTTGGACCAGGATCATCATCAAGCATACCACCGTCCTGTCCAGCTTCTCCATTTTCAAGCGCAATTTGCTCTCGGCCCCGATCAAAAGGAGTGATGGCCTCAGCCTCCCCGTTGGAAGGCCGGCCAGACCATCAAGATGAAGAAGGAAGGCCAAGAAGCTGATCACGCTCAGAAGTCGAAACGTCCGCCGCCTGTGCCACATTGACCGCCGCCATTTGAGAACTTTGCGGCAAACTCATGGCATAGGCATGAAGCGCAGAATGGTGCGTCCTGAAGGTAAGCTGTTGCAACAGATGCTGAACCAAGGCAGAGGAAGATACGGACTTCCCATCAGAAATCAAAAGATGCGGTGCTGTTCCATTTTTCAAAGTGCCTCCAAGACCTCTGTCTCCGGAAACGCCAAGATGAACTGTCGCGGCCATAGCAGGTTCATCCGATTTGGTGCCTTCCGGAATCAGCATGCCGGAAGCGCCAGAGTTTCATTCCAAAGAGGCTGTTGGCTCTCCATGACTGAAAAGGACCGAATCTTCTGTCACTACCTCAACGGTGGCGTGAGCACTGACAATCTTTGAAGCCAAGCCCACATACGTCGCCACCTGCTTTGGCTTCACCAAGCTGCTTACACCAGTAGTGATTGTTGCTTCCTTCTCGTGAGCGGCAAAAGCGATGGAATCCGTCAGTCCACGAAATTGCACCGGCTTGGGTGCTCGGAGAAACGTAAATTCAAACAAATGTACCCTTCCGCCACCAGCAACAAGCACCTGAAATTTTTCTTGTTTTGTCAAGGCACCCAATTCGTTCTTTGGACCCGTCAGGACATGCATGGGAATCATCAATCTATCGCTCGTCAAGTGGCCACAACCTACGCTGAATCCCTTTGACCGGAAAACCACCAACTGAGCTAGACTTTTGACCGCACGGTTAAGAGGCTCCTTGTACTTGCCACTCACCTGCGGAACGAGGGTCTGTAAGAAGCGCTCCACAACAGGCGTAAAAACCGGGTCCGTCTGCAGGCACTGGATGAAGGTTGCCTTGGCAGCATCTGACCAATCCATTGACTGCATGCCGCTAAGAATTTTGGACTGCAAAGGTGTCACACCCTCCGTGAACCAAGATGTGAAACTTTCGAGGCCCTCGCGTTTTTGCACTGCTTGTTCGGAGGTTTCAAACAGGCAAGCGCCTTCTGCGGTTGCCGTTGCCACCCTATCCACAACAGATTGAGCTACAGCCTCCGATAAATATGTCCCTGAATGTTCCCCAAATGCGGCGTATGCTCCCAAGGTTAGCACCAATGCCACAGGATTGCGAGCCAGGGAGAGGACGAGCACCAAGGCATCTCGCGCCGAACCAATTTTGATGGAGGAGAAAAGCGCCAGGACTCCTTCCCGCTCAATGCCTTTGGAAGTGATCTTGAAAGGTGTCGCTGGAAGAAAGGACAGCAGCAGAGCAAGCATGGCAACGTACCTTGCAAGCAATCCAAGGACCAAGGCTGTACCAAGCATCCAATGGCCAACTGGAAGCTTTGTCTCCACCCCGGTGATAATCTTTGCCAAGAGCGCCCAAGAACTGGCATCATGGTCGCCGAAAACGGCATAACGGAGAGGAAGGCGCGTTCCGATGAGTCCCTTAGTGGTCGGATTGCCAGTCGTACTGTGGAGAACCAGCAAGACGCGGGCTGCCAAGGCACCCTTTGTCGAAAAAGCTGCACCAAATGAAAGCAAAGTTGATGAAGCCACCTCAAAAGCTACGACTCCCCAACCAGTCTCCGCCAGGAGAGCTGCACCTCTCGCAGCGACGCCCAAAAGGCATGTTGCCAGCTCCACGGGAGATGAAGGAAGCTCCGTTGAGGCAGTAACCAAAGAATAAAGCAAAAAGACAAAACGGCAAGTAGTCCCCCAGTCACTCAAAGTCAAACCGACATAACGTGAGAAAAGCCACACACCAAAACCAGAAACCAAAACTACAACACGAGGGCCCAAACGAGGAAATGAATTGGAAACGAAATAAGGAGTGAATAAAGAAACCAAATATAAAATTGGCACTGCCACTTTTTGGAGCACTCGCTTCCAATCTCTGTCCAGGAGACCAATTTCGTCGACAGCAAGAACAAATGTCGCTTCATCAACGATGCCCACGGCAGACAAAGACTCAGACCATGGGACTGTGAAGATCTGTTTCGCAAGGCACTTCTCAGAACTGCGCATCCTTTCCTCAAGCTCTTCAGTACCGCAGATCATTCTGCTGGCCGCAGGAAAGCGCTTCTTCCAGGCAAGGACAGGAAGCTCTGAAACATCCAAATAAGGAACGCCAGAGTCCGTAAAAGCGTAGATTTGCACGTCGTTCTCAGAGGTTTGTGCACAAGGAGCATAGCACTTAACTCCCTCCACTTGGACAAGAACGACTGCAAAGCAAGCAGGTCCGTCCTTTTCTTTGAATGTAGCCCATGCTCCAGGGCCATTGAGACGAATCTCATAAACAACTGCATGTCTTGCCAAAGCCGGATCAAAAGAATATATCGCGCTGGCCTTGGTTTTTGCATCTGCATCACGCCACGTAAAAAAAGGAGACGAGCGAGGCCTTTCCTCCGGCGAGACAGCCTGCCAACCAACAGGCAGTGACGTAACGCCACCATCATCATCGACAGCGAAACAGGCGCTCTGCACAGCTGTATATGCTGCCTGACATGCTGCAGCTGGGTCAAGAGCACAAACACGTGCAGAACAATTGCAGCATGAGGACGAAGCAGACGCTGCAGCTGCTTCACAGCCCTGACCGACGTGACCAAGCGTTACAAGCTCCCAGTCTTCGACTTCGTAAACGAGTTTGCGCTCAAAAGGACCTGAGCCAGTGACAGCACAAACTTGGGGTTCCATAGACTTTGACCCAAGCACATGAAGGCGATCCTCACACTCGACAACAAGCGTTTCTGCAGCGACTCTGTCTGCCTCAACACGTGGAATCTGAGCATCAACGTTGTTCTTGCCATCCTGAAAAGCCACTAAATCGCTCTCCATGGCTTGAATTAGAGCCATCTTGGCATCGACAGCCGCAGCTACGCTATCCTGCCACGCCCTCAAGTTGGCTTCATAGGTCAATCGCTCCCTTTGCTTTGATTCTCTCTCAAGTTCGCACTTTGCAAACTTTGCCTTTTCAAGTGCTGCTGCTCTGACTCTTTCCAAAGTCGAGGAACAACTGCTACTCTTTGCAGCTTCTTGCCTGGAAGGCTCTACGCGAAAAGCCTCGACAAGTCCATCAGATACAGTCGCATTCGTATCCAGATGCACAACCACCGCGAACCCTGCAGTTAAGCAGGTGAGGCATAGGAAGGCAACGAAAGAAGCAACCATGACCGACAAACCCGTCAAGGAGGCGCAAAGTTCCAGGTAGGAGCTGCACTTGCCTTGAGCCAAAATGGCTACGTGTAGGGACCTTAATAATTAGAATAGGGTGTTGGGCGTTCCTTCATATATACGAGTATAGTATAGCATACGCCAAACGCGATTCTAACTAATAAGGCAGCTACATCAAGCAAATCCTGCTTAGGCTTCAGGGCCCCCGGAAGGACCCCCACCCCTTCCAAATCAAGCGAAGTGTCGTCACGAAGTTGGTGATGCCCGGGCCATTCTGCGCGATCATCATCGACCTTCTTCCCGAATATTAACAGCTGTCCTCCCGAAAGACCCATAATGTAGATGCTTACAAAATTCTCTTCTTGAAAATTCACGACTGTATGCTCCTCCAGCGGAAGTTTTAAAAGAACGGACCGCCCCTGGATGGTATGGTTGATGATATAAATCCTGCAATACCTTAGGGACCCCAGACTATGGGAATTATGGTATATTTCAGGTAATGCAGGATTTATAAACACCATCAACCGTAGAACCCTCTCTAGAAAGATGCTGAAAATAGAGCCCCTAGTGTTTGAGAGCTTGACACCGAACTTCTTCAAAGCTTCGGGACACCGATGTCCAGATCCTGAGCCCTACACCCCAATCGGTCTGGGACCCACACCCTTGAGAGGGGTTGAGGTTTCGGGTTGAGAGCTCAGGATGAGGGGAGAGGGTTTAGGGTTTAGGGCCCTGAAGTTCGGCCTCTGAGCTTCAAGATTGCGGTTGCAGTTCGAACAGCTGGAATTCAAACATATAGAAATTCTCCTACATTTGCGGTGTCTGAGAGGGGTCCTTCTAAGCAGGACCCTACCAATTCAGAGTCTACGTTCGCTCTATTCGGCCTCATTAAGTTTCCTTCAAACTTACCTACATCTGACACTCCAATATCACAGTCTTCACAAATCAAGGCAAGCAGCATTTTGCCTGTCGTTCTCGTGTATCCGTCTGCCATCATGCCTGCATTGCACTCCTTGGAGAGCTTCTTTGCATGGGATGGCTGAAGTCTGAAACTAGGGTTTAGGCTTTAGGCTTGAGCGTGTAGGGCTTAAGGGCTTGAGGGCTTAGTGTTTTAAGCTTTGAAACGTGCATCAAAGACCCCCCAAAACTGAGTGTGCGGACGGAATCACACGCCGAGATTCAGGCTGCTTAGGGTTTAGGTTTTAGGGTTTAGGGTTTAGGCTTAAGGTCTAGGCTTTGCTAAACACGCTACTCGCACAGAACGCCAACACCCTGAATTCTAATCCTTAAAGGTTTAAGACAAACTCTACAGTTGCACAGCCTACACTTTTGAACCAGTACCCTTCCGTCAGGTTCAAAAAGAACTGCACTAAACGCTACGCTCCAAACTCTAACCCCAAACCTGAACCCTAAACCCTAAACTCTAGAAACCTAACCTCAAAGCTTGACGTCGACGATCAAGGCTTTAGGCCAAGCGGCATGGGCGCAATCCCAGAACTTGATCCCTGGCGGGTGCAAATTGCTGCAAAAAAGGGGGTATTTGGGGTTTAGGGGATCTGAGTTTTTTTGGAATGCTGTTCCCTTGTTCTCTAAAAGGCTCAGGGCTTAGGGTTGAAGGTTTAGGATCTATGAGGAGCCCCCAAACAAAGTACCCTTTAACGAATCCCTCATGGTCCATACTACTAAGATCTTAGCTTTGAAGTTTGGGGCGGTAAGTTTCAGGTGCCTATCTTGAAGACTCCCAATTTGTTCAGCTTGGATTCCTCTGAAGGTGCCTATGTCAAAGTCTTTCAATCAAAGGGTAAATGGAGGGACCCCGAATAAGGACCCCTAGATATATACCCATAATATAGCTATGACATACTCATTATATAGCCCATTATAGGGTATGGGTCCCCATTAAGGGTCCCTCCTTTTCCCTTTTGATTCAAGGCTCTCTATCAGGGCTCCCCCCACTAGGAGCCTTCTCTGCGTGGCTTCGGCTGAAACGTCTTATGAGGGCTTTCCCTTTTGAGGTATCAGCTCGCGACCGGTGCAGAAGGTTCTGAGAAAATATAGCGACCTGTCCTTTTTCAGCTCCTCTATGAGCTTGCTATAATATCCCCTCCCCCACCCTAATGTAGGGGCCTTAAGAATTACAACAGGGTTTGGGGGCCCAGTATACTACAATTATAATAGGGAACCCCCAAAACCTTATTGATATCACATGTTCCAATGAGTAATGCAAGGGATTTAGGGGGTGTTCAATGAGCGGTTACCAGTCACGACTCCCGTTAACTGTCAGATCGGTTTAGGGCTTAGGGTTTAGGGCTTTAGGGTTTCGGGTACGCCCAAGGGAATACCATTTCGGATGGCTTGTAGTTCCACTTTGTGCTTTTAGAGTCCGAGTCTGAGAGAGCCAGGTTCTGCGGGGATCGCGTGGAACCGTCCCTGAAGCCTAAACCACCAAGCCCCACAGCCAAAACCCAAACACTGCTGTTGATGATAAGAATCCTCCATTACCTGAAGGACCCTAAACCATGGGAATTATGGTATATTCCTTATTATGGGTAATGCAGGATTTATATCATCAACCGTACGGCCGGGTTCAAGGCTGAGGGAGTTTAGGGTTTCGGGCTGCTTGGGGCCTTTTGCGTCTGGGGATTTGCTCAGAGCTTTACGGTTTAGGGTTTAGGGTTTAGGTTTACCCTAAACCCTAAACCCTAAACCCTAAAAGGAGCATTCACACGTGATCAGAGAAGTAGGTCTTTTTTACACGGATCCCTTTTGGTGGGCTCCTCAAGAGGGACTCTAACTTAGAGAACTACCCATGCGTTGTGGATGACGTAAGAGCGGCTTTAGGATTTCGGGTCGAAGCGGAGTCTTTAGTGAAGCAGTCTTCCTACATACTAGGCCAAGAAGTTTAAACCCTGAACCCTAAATCATAGACTCTAAACCCTAAACCCTAGACCTAAACCCTAAACCCTGCACCCCAAACCCTGAACCCAGGGAGCAGTCTAAAGCCGCATAGACGACCTGAGTCCCAGCCTCAACGTCTCGAAACTCCAAGCTGAAACCTTCGTCTGCCCAGAACTTCAAAGTTCCAAAAACACATAAATTTCTACACCCTGAAACCTAAACCCTAAACCCCTAAACCCTAAACCCTGAACCCTAAACCCTAACCCCTAAACCCTAAACCCTAAACCCTAAAGCCCCCAAAAGCCTTCGTAAACGCTACCTACTGCCCACCTGCGGCTGGGAAAAGGTCCGAGATGGGCATCATCGCCGAGCCTCTCTTTTCTGGGTTCGGGCCGTTTACGGTTCAAGGCTTTGGGTTCTCGGGTGCAGGGTCTGGGGTGGAACTCCGAATCTCAAAGCCGGAAGCCAAACCACACCCGAAACCCGAAATCCTACAGCCAAAAAGCCTGAACCAGAACCCAGGGATTTGGTTTCTATACTATACTGCACTATACTTCACTATACTATACTTCACTATACTTTGCTTCACTATACTTCACTATACTATACTTTACTATATGTACTTAACTATATTTAAACATATATATATACATATACTATACTATGTTGAACTATACTATGAGGGGTGCCGGGGCGCAGCTTTGGGTTTTCGGACTTCGAGGCTTTGGAGCTCGAGGCTGCAGGGGTTGAAGGTTGTGGGGCACTTACGAACGAAGGCAATAGAATGCGGTGTAATACGCTATACATCGCTATACTGCAGTATAGTGGCGTGTAGTATCGTATAGTATAGTATGGCATTTCATAGAATGCGGTATAATGCGCTATACATCGCTATACTGTAGTATAGTGTAGTATCGTATAGTATAGTATGGCATTTTATATAGTGCGGTATAATACGGTATAGCGTAGTATAGTATCGTATAGTATGGTATGGTATGGTACAGTAAAGTATGGTATGGTATGGTATCGTATGGTACGGTATGGCATGCTGAGTACAGTACAATATCATGAAATGCGGTATAATGTTCATATAACAGAATATAACAGTGCCCCAGTACGCGAGCAGGCAAGATGAGGCCGCCCAGTCGCCGATGATGCCGAAGGCATTCTTGATCCCATGCCTCAGTCAGGCAAGGTGGGGCAGAATGTCTTAAACTGGGTCCTTCTTAAGGGATTTAATCTAAGTTACTATACTAAGGAAACCATATGAAATATTATGGATCCCGATTATGGTAACTTAACTATCAAGAGCCCAAGAGCATAGTAAACCCACACCCTGCCGAAGCCTATCCCGAATCCAACAAGATGCTGACAACTAAACCGAAAAAGCAAGGTACGATTGCTCGAACTACCCGAACTCGCACATGGGTGGTTGTCAAAATTATGGTCTCTTTTCGAGTCCTTATTATGATACGGCACCCTATATTTAGCGTACCCAGAAGGGGGCCAAGGTTGTAAGAACGACCCACATCCTCCAAGAGCGGTCCGGTCCTGGCCCATTGTGTTTAGGAACACCTTCAGCCCAGTCTCATCTGCCGGGTGGTTTATATAACTAGCAGTACCGGCGTATGGTCCCTGTATGCCTTGATGGTAACATGCCACCCATATCCTACTCAAAGTTTGGGCCCAGTCTCATCTGCAGGGTCTTCACAAAAGCTTCCTCGGTGGTCATTCGCATCGGAGGCTTCCGCTGACCTGAGTCAGAAGGAAACTTCTCAAGTTAGGGCTTAAGGATGAAGTTTTAGGTTTAGGGCTTTACACTAGCGATGCGGTTTAGGGGTGGGGTTTAGGGTTCTTGGTTCAGGTGGCTCACTCCGACTGGAAACCAAGAAGAGCAACTGCATCTAGGTGAAGCCTTGAACGCGGCCATTAATATGAAGGGCCTGAAATTACTGGAATACGCATAAAAGTGTGGGACACATTACCTGAATCTGTGGTCCTCGATGTCAACGTGTACATTCATTCCCGATGGGGATTCCACCAGCATACACTTGACTCGGGAGTTCCGGAGTGGAGTTGAGGGCTTGGGACTTGAATTTGTTGGCTGTGGGATTCAGGATTTGGGGCAACTTCCGGGTTTAGGGTTCCTACAGTCACAAGTGCTGCACACAAACATGATCTTGAAGTCCAAGGGACCGTGTAGCGGCTTCCCACTTGCTGTCGCAAACCTGAAGATTGCTGGGTTTAAATTTTGCCTAAGCGAACACCTGACGCGGTTGGCTGTGTCATCTACATCTGAGCGTCGTGTAGAATCGCGATTAAGAAGCTGCCTTCCTTCCCCTACAACACGGATCCTGATATTGTGGCCCTTAAATGCGGGGGTTGTAGCAATCAAGCGTCTACAAACTTCTCCTCGCCATTTTCAATGCACGCTGGAAGCCACCAGAATTGAACCGAAATCAACGCAACTCGAGCCCTACACCCTAAACCCTAGATAGTACCCTATAGATCCATCATAGGAACCCCTATAGATCCCTTATAGGAAACCAAGGGCTCCAACCCTCTAACTCCTCCGAAGTCCGAGGGGTCCGTGCTCTAAAGCCCTAAACCCCGACATCTGGACCCCTGACAGAGACTAAGGACTATACCCTAAGTTATAGTATGATTCCTAATATGATTTAGGGTATATTCCTTAATTCAGGGGTTTTGGAGGCTCTGGGCCGGATCTTCAGCGAGAGCTCGAAAACCCAGCAGTCCAGTTCGTAGTTCAGCGAAGGGGAAAGGGTTCACGGGTTTAGGGTTTACGGGTTTAGGGAATATGTAGGGGTTTAGGGTTGCTCTCAAATCTTAGACCCAACCCTCCCATCCAGTCCCTGAGCAGGAGGACATGGGAGGCTTAAAGGAAGGACGATTAGAGAGAAGGAGATAATGTATCCAATGGTGTGGTTATCTTAATTGCAACCTACTAATAACCTTACTTACTAAGTCCCAGTGGCCTTAACTATAAGGGTAACTGTGGTGTGGCCCGTGACGGTGCCGTTCCTGCAGGAATGGGCAACCGGAACGAAACATCTACGAGGTCTGGCACTTGCTTCGCACGGTGGGAGCGATTCCCCGTGCCGCCTTGGAGGCAGACGTCTTCAACACCGCCCGCCATGGACTACCCGGGTCTTGCGAAAGCCGGTCGAAATGGGAGAGGTATCGTGGTTAGCCAGGATGAGGTCAACGAATGGGGAGAATGAAGCTTGGTCGTTTCAGGAAACGCGAGACTGGGTTCGCCGAGATCGTCCCGAGCCCACTACCAGGACGGAGGCCAGGTTTTCTGGCATTGTGACGGGCGACCGCTCTTTGGGACGTACTCCAATGCCAAGTGATGACCAAAGTGATGACGAGGAACCTGTGCCTCCTGAATCTGGTGGTCCAGCGGAGGTACCGCCTCGTGGGATGTCGTGTCAGGAGTCTGGGGTACAAGGGGAAGTGCCTGGAGATGGCGACTATGATGGTGATCCAGATACGACTGTGAGGAAGATCAAATGGCTTCAGCGAGGGAGGATGACGGGGTTGAGCATGGCCCCTGGCGCAGAAGCGAGACAGAGGCAGTGTTGGGGACAATGAACCAACGTCGTTTGATGAGATCCCAGACCCCCGGGAGGATCTAGAAAGTAGATCCCCTAATTTGGGGCCCTACACTACGAAGGGTAATATACAGGAATTTAATTAAGGGATATTTTTTTTGATTTTTTCGGTGGTCTGGGATGCTACGGTTGTTTTTCTGTGTCTCTACCTCAGAGCCCTCGCTGATCGAAGGGGAGCGCTGGTTTAGGGTTTATGTAGGGTGTAAAATAGGGGCCTTAATAATTAGCCTAGGGTCTTGGGCCCCGATATACTATGATTATAATAAGGAAGCACCAAAATAGTATTGGCAATTATTTAGGCTCTATAATAGGGGTTTCGGGTTCAGGGTTTAGGGAATTTGGGGGCAGGGCTTTCGGAGTTCAGCTCTAGAGCCCGAGGTTCAAGGGTTCAAGGCACCGTAAATAAGAAACCCTAAGCCCTTGCGACAAGGAGCTGCCGCGCCGAGAGAGACCCGATTGGCCTGCTTCGCCCAAAAGGTTATAGGGCTCTGGCAGGGTTAATTGGGCTGCTGCAGGTGGTCTGTAGCATGTTGAGAGCTTTTCTACAGGGTTTTATAGAGTTGATTAGGCATTACGTAGGGGTTGCTCGAGATTTCGCTTTTGGATTGCGGTTCAGCATCTTTCCAACACCCAACAATGCACAAGATTGCGGGACCTCCAGCCTGGAAGACTACAGTGTCCGCAGGACAACAGCAAGCGTGCTACTGTTACTGAGTAGTCTACTCCTGTGATATAGAAGCCTGAATAACTAGCACATATACTCTTTCATTCTCATTATTCGGGCCCCTATAGTATACGGGTATGAGGTCAAGGGCATGCAGACAGCCCATGGGCCTCGAAAGTAGGGTTCAGGGTTTAGAGTGTAGGGCTTAGGGTTTAGTGTTTAAGGCTTTAGGGCTTAGGATTGGGTTTAGGGTTTAGGGTTTAGGGGCTTTAGAGCTTACGGGCTCCAGCTTCGCGGGGTGGGTTCGAGTTTCTTTTTTGCGGATGAGGAAGGGCTTGGGTCGTCGGTCCGGGCTTGAGGCTGACACTTGGGGCTAGTGTAGGGCCCTTAAATAATTAGAATAGGGTTTTCGGGCCCCGCATACTAGAGTTATAGTAAGGACACCCCAAACTAGTATAGGTAATTATTAAGGCCCCTAAAGTAGGTTTGGCCGGCAAGTCCACTCCCAAAACCCTCCATAAATAAATCCCCTCGATCGTCCCCGCCCCCAAACCTAAACCCTACAGTAAATCCCATAACGTCGGAAACCGGATTAAGGCCAAATAGTGCTGGGATTCCCTATACATTACTCTTAAGCATTGAGGTTATGGTGGGGTGTCCCACTTTTGGGCTTCTACTGTAAACCCTAAACCCTTAACCCCAAGGCGCTATGAAAAAGCCTCAGTCCCAAAAGTGTGGAGAGTACACCTCGTCAGCGATTAGCAAGAAACGGCGTGAATTGTGGACCCTTCGACCAGGAGTCCATAAAGGTGCCTTTCATTTTATCCTTTATCCGGAGCCCTCACCAGGGGGTGAGGGTGTCGGCTTAGGTATACTGGGCCTCAGTGCATCGCGCAGGTAGCTCGTCATCCGAGAAGTCATGGTAGCAGCAGAGCAGGGAAGCTTACAGGCCAGAATCCTAAAGATAACCCAAATAAAGGCTCTATACCATCTAGGTAAGATCTGACTTGGCCAACTCTTGTTGGGCGCAGGGACGGAGGCTTGAGCCAAGCAAAAACCAAGGGAGAAACGGAAGGCTACAGAAATTTGGCACAAGATCACCCCTTATACGCTTGCAGTACGCAATATCCCCCGAAGCAGTATCGGAACCTTGATAACTGGAATAAGCTATTTGGGGTCTGTAATAGGAACTGTCTTTCCACAAGGAACCCTGGGGGACGGCACTACTGAGCCTGAACGCCGCTATATCAATTCTTAATGGCTCGCGGTTCGGTTTAGGGTTTAGGGTTTAGGGTTTAGGGTGCATGGACGGGCACAGGACCGGAAGTCTGAATTCCTATACTCTGCTCCCTAAATCCGGAGTTTGGGAGTTTAGGGTTGACCTGCCGTCGAAAAGCCTCGAACTCTAACTTGGCTCTGTACCCTCCAAATCTAGCCCCGAGCCCCAAAACGCCACATACACAATTCCTGAACCCTAAAGCCACTTTCCACATCCCGTCAGATTCCTTACCACTCCTAAACCCTAAACCCCAAACGATAACTCTCTTACCGAACCCTCAACCCCGAGCCCTCCAAGGCATAAGCTCATAGGGACCCTGAGGGGGAGGGAGGTGGGGGACTATACTTCTTTGAATAGGCCTTATTTTGTCCTGATTATGGGCATTAGGGGTAGAGGGGCCTCCCACCCTACCCCGCTAAGGGTCTTCGTGATAAGCCCTTCTCTTCCTCATGCATCCGCCAGGCAGCTTGGCAGGTTTCAGAAGCTCTGAGTCCGATAGCGAACTTCTCACATTAGGGTCCTTCGGCTTGATGATACAAATCCTGCATTACTTCAATGACCCTAGACTATGGGAATTAGGGTATCTTGTTATGGGTAATGCTGGATTTTTATCATCAACAGCTAGATAAAGGGTTGGCAAGCTCTGCAAAGAAGGGTTCCCTTATGTAAGTTAAAAAACTCCTGAACCAGAGTTTCGGGGTTGAGGGTGTGAGGGTTTACGGATTTAGGGCTAGGTTTCGGGGTTTAGGATTTCGGGATTTAGGTTTCGGGCCTAGGGTTTGAGGGTTTAGGGCTGTTGGGCTTGGGGTTGTGCATGCTTTTGGCTGGAATCCTGCCGTCTGCGCCGCGCCATGTCTAGCAAGAACCCCCACAGTACGGTTGATGGTATAAACCCTGCGGTACCCAGAATAAGGAATGTAACCATACTTCCGAAAGGTTTAGGGTCATTAACCATTCAAGTAATGCAGGATTCATATCATCAACCGTGGTGCATTCGCACTGAGATGTTGGGGACCTCGCGCCCTTTCGCGCCAGGAGACCTTTGAGTATTGGCAAACGCTGTATCCCAGAATCCTAAACCCTAGACCATGTAACCCTCAAACCCTGAACCCCAAACCCACGAAAATCCCAAATCGAAAATTGAAGCCCCTAAACTACCTATAGTCTCCACTGTAGTTCCTTTTTTGGGTTACCTTCAAGGAGACTTTAAAATATATATATATATATATATATTTGTTAAACCAAAAAAAGGAACTACAATGGAGACTATAGGTAAACCTGCTAAAGCTGGGTGGTCGAGGTCGCCTTGTCAAGGGCAGCGCTAGAAAGCGAGCCGAGGGCTGTCTAAACGCACCTCCAAAAATCCTGAAACCCGTAAAAAAAAGGTAAGGTATGGGACAGGGTTCCTATTCAGTGTGCTACAGGAGTTCCTTTAAGCGTCTTCTGGGGATTTAATAAGGGGTCCTTGACAATTAGAATAGGGTTTGGGGCATGTTATACAATAACTATTGTGTAAGGAGCCATTTAGAACGGTATTGCACATTACTACTAGTTCTTCAAGCCCCTGTATTGCATTGAAGTCCTGACACTGAACAGATTGGGATTTAGGGTGTGGGGTTTTGGGCTTAGGGCCTAAATCAAGATCATTCAAATCCATCAAACCCTAAACCGGTCAACCGATTGAGATTAAAAATTTGCGGATGCTGGAAATAGGGGGGGGGCGTCATCTTTAGGTCACATTATGGTAAGACGATGAAAAGAACTCTTCCATGAACAACGAGGGTAATTATTCAAGCATCTAGTCCCACTTTAGACAGCCCTAGGGCCTGAGGGTCAAGTACGGCAAGCCATCGGCGGCACCACGCAATGCGGACACTAAGCCTTGGATCCCGAACTCCACACCCTGGAAATTGAGAGTAGCTTTGCTTCTATGGTCTAGGGATTGGGGATGATTGGGGTCTATGGTTGAGGGTTTAGGGCTAGACCCCCGGCCATAGGCCTCCGGGTTAGCGTAGAGCAAACTCTGTAACCATGGTCTTGCGGTATACTACGGTACAACTACATAAGGGATGCGATTCTTAATTCGTCAGACCTACATATTGGCGGTTTAGGTCTGGAGACCAAGATGTCTATGAAAAGCCCGAAACTCTCAACCCTCAAGCCTCACCCAAAATCCAAAACCTGTCTTAGAATGATGCAGATCTGGATTTTGGGGTACCCAAAAAATATACCTTGTATTATAAGGGGATTCATATTATGATTTAAGCCATATTCCTTAACTAAGGGGTATTGGGCTCTCTGGGTATGGCTGAGGGTTCAGGGTCTGAGGTTTAGGCTTGGGCTTCGGGTAGCACACGATCATCACATGGTGACCATGAAGGACTGCTGTTAGTGAACTATTCAGACCGCTATGCTAGATGTTAAGGGTGTAGATTGGAAGCAGAAGCACGCCATTTGTAGCCTTACCTCTCTCCTGTTCCAGAAAAGCCGTCTTGATAATTAGAATAGGTTTAGGTATACTATAAGTAAATAAGGAACCCCGAAGTAGGATAGGTAATTATCAAGGCCCCCACATTATCGCGCAGAAGTCCAACACCTCAGACCTTGAATATCCTAAACTAGACATACCCTAAACCGTAAACCCTGAACCTAGGACCCTAAACCCTGACTGAAGCCTCTCGATGGCTTTCCTCTGCTTTGCGTGGAGTCAGCCGGGCTTAGCAATGTCCTAGAGGGAGATCCCATCATTTGCACGCCCTTGCTTTTGTTGCTTTTCTGAATAGAGTATGCTGCTGTGTTGCATGCTGCATCATGCTACCTTGAATATCGTCTGCAGCATCACTCCTGAATTCGATGCCGCTCTTTCACGATATCGCTACTGTACCATTCCCAATGTCGTGTCATAATGGCTCCTCAGAACTCGACCACCACACCACCACCACCACCAACGCCTAAACCCTAAACCCATCTCTGGCTCAAGCAAGCTTCCTTTGCAGTGACCCATACAGGTAGTAGCATGACACATGTTTGCAGATCAACTATACTAAGCATGCCGCAGGCCCCAAGAGCAAGCCGGATACATCCGAGCAAAGAGCCACAAGCCTTCAACCTCGAATCATGTTCACTGCTACGGCCTGCCCGAACTCACCCATGGCTAATTGCGAGCACTGGTTCTGACGCGGTCTGTTTCCGACCTCGTATATAGAGTATGAGCCTTGCATGCTTTCCGCACAATCACCCGAGGGCTGGCCATGAACCATGATGGGTTCTGCCTGCATGCACTCCTCCCAACCTGAACTGGCAAAACGCCATCGGACCGTGCGCCACCTTCGGGTTTCGGATCTAGTAATTCGGGGTTTAGTGTAGATGCGCCCTCTTGCCAGAAGAGTGGCACAGGCTCTGAAAGCTCTCCATACCATGATGATGAAAACTGTTAAAACCCACTGCGAAACGCCTCCAAGCGAGAATGGCCGGTCTTCAGGAAAGGAGCAATCTGACGACTCCGATATCCCTTAAAAAGGGCATATTCCTCAAAATCTTACACGAGTGCTTCCTACTTACAGGACACATCTTTCCTTTGATTCTTGCTTACTGATCCCCAAGTCTGAAATTGCTATGTATCTATTGATAAAGGTTATAGTTTTTTACACGAAGAACCATGACAAGTTAATTAAATCAACAGTACTTAAGGGATCATGGGACTTAGCAACTAGGGTTATAAATAAGGTAACTATACTTATCATGACTTCTAACCCCAATTAGAGGACTTATAACCTTACTTACTAAGTCCCCTGATCCTCTTGGGGAAGTGAGAGGCTTCCCCGGACTCTGTAGCCCCCAGTTCCTCCAGTTGAAGGATTTTGGAGTCATCGTAGGAGCTGTTGAATTTGGGGCTCGGAGGCCCTCTTAGAGCACAAGCTCTGAGAACGGTACTAAAGGGCCCTGAATTATCAGAATAAGGCTTCGTGGTTTAGGGTTTAGGGCTTCGGGCTTACGAGGTTTGAAGAAGATAATGGGTTTAGGCCAATTTAGGGTTTAAGCAAGGATTTGGAGGTGTATGATAAAAGAATCATGACATGTGGACAACGTGGCATGCCAGTATTAATGATTCAGACACCTATGGTACTTCGCCCCCTTCGGGTTTTGTAGGGTCCTTGGGGCACTTAGGGACTAGGGTTTACGGCACTTCGTGTTCAGGGATTGGGGCGCGTAAGGTTTAGGAGTCATGACATCTCGAAATAACGTTGACAATATTCAGAATGGTCATCTGTAGACAGGAGGCCTCCAAACTCAGTAACATTTGCAACTTAAGCCATGAACCGAAACTCGAAAACCCAGGCGCCCGGACAACGTACAAAAACCCCAGCTCAGAGCCTACTGCAAAGGCGTTAGCAATTAGAATAGGGATTGGGGACATATAATGCTTCGATTGTCATAAGGTAAAAGCCAGAAAGTTGGAATATGATTATCCTAACCCTTCTATGGTAAATTATAGGGTATCCTACCATGAAACCATATTCCAACTTTCTGGAGTTCCCTGTAATAAAGAGCCCTGGGGCTCTAAAAGGCAATATCGGCAATAGAATTTGTCGACCCTCTGTTACAGCAGCTTTAGTTCCTCTGAGCTCTGAGAGGACTTTCT